TGGTTATAGAAAATCCTGTGATAACATAATTGTATAATATTTTGGACATTAACGTCGCTAAATAAGATTTTATTGACTATAGTCTTCTGTTTGAATGATTTAGGCCACGAACATCATACTATATACTGCAATACTTACATTTTCATTTAATTATTAAGCATTATATGCGGCTATGTTGTACTTGTTTCATTGCGAGAAACGTGTAATCTTTCAGATAATGGCATAGTATAAGCCCAACCATTGTCTCTAATCTCTTTAAAAAGCTATAAAATAAAAAATAACAATTGCACAGTTAATAAATATTATTACATTAAGTGAATGATAATTCTTCATGGTGTATATAAATATTCTATTTACTTTTGTCTGCCATATTTCATTGTTCTCTTTGCGTAGGCGGGCCTCATCTCGTTGTTTTTGTTCGATAGCATATTTTGCAGCTGTGGCCTTATCCATATCATTAATACGTAAACCCATTGTTACTTCTCGCCAAACTTTTCGTGATTCACATTCTTCCTGCTCGCATATTGGTTTAACTAATTTTTTCTCTATCGGAAGTTCTCTTACATCCAAGATTTCAACTCGCTACAAACAAATTTGACAATAATATATATATATATTTATAAATAAGTACAAATACACTTTTTATGCTTACTCCGTCAACCCATTTCGCTTCCATAGCACCATTCCATTCTCCATTAATAACAAGGAATGGTTTTTTATCTGCTGGTTGAGTAACATGACAAGTAATTTTATTACGTTTTCCACCATAAAAAGGTTTTGTTAAAAATTCAACAGTTGCTTGATATCCAGTTTGTGCACAACTTATAGTAGCCGTTCCTCCTAATTCTATCCAAGGAACAGTAAGAATTGATCTGCCATAACCATTTGGAAAAGTTAAAACATATTCTTCACCATGTTCCAATACATTTACCCAACCCTTTCCAATATTATGTACTCCTATACTGAGCCCCAGAAATTTACTTTTTGTCCAAACATGTGCGGAGAAAGTTATCTTCTTTGCATAATGTTCAGCGTAAAATGCACTCACTGCAATACATTGAAATATTTGTATAAATAATAAAATAAATAAAATGAGATTATAAATTATACCTGGAGGATGATGAGAAACTTGTTCAGCAATAAAAGACAATTGATTTTCTTTACACCATGGAACTGGCCCATCTGTTACACACTTTATTTCACTATTTACATCGTCTGTACAATTTTCACTAACAAGATTCCAATGACATCGGAAGATTTCACCCAAAATAGGATTGTATGGTTTCTTAGCTACGCCAGATCTACGGCCGGCATGAAAACTGCATAAATACCAGCGTACTACTTGCACCATTCTTTCTCTAGGCGTAGGCATATCTGCAATGCTACAATATTTTGGAATATTTCATTAATATTTCTTTCTTTACAAATACTTGTACAATATTATTCCTTTGAGTGATGAATATAGATTTTGGCTGAATACTTTATTGCTAGTACGACTTATAATCATTATACTTCCAAATTAACACAATATATCACTCAAAGGATTATTCTTCGAACAAATCATATTTATATATATTTGTATATATATTTGTACCTTACAAATTGAACTGGATGAGTAAAATAATCTGCATACATTTCAAGAAGTGATCTACGTTCCAAAATAAAGGTAGGCAATGCAACTTTGGTTAGATCCATGCCAATTTTGACTTGTGACAAAAGATGTGTCACAACAGATCCATGGCTTTCCATGGAATCCACTAAAAAAGGAAGATGATATTTTGAATTTTAACAAATGTTTAACTATTGCATATACATTATGTTTGAGAATTATAATATACTAACCTTCTGTGTCGCTCTCTTCCTCGTACAAGGCTGCGGATACACACATTTTGTTATAGAAAAAAAAAATAAAACAATTATAATATTTAAACATCAATAAGATATTTTCTTATCATTTTGGTTTGTTAATAAGTCAACAATTTAATATACATCTATATATATATGCATATATATTCGTTAAATATTTCTTATCAACTTAACCTCGCATTTGGAAAGGTAAATGCACAACTTACTATTTATATCTACGTTCAACATATTGTTTTTGTAGAAAATACCAACTAGTATCCATTCCTAAAAACTCTCACTTCTGTCAAAATAGTTATAGTTAAAATACAATGCTTAATTGTATAATTATTTGATCGTATATTGAACTAACATTAATAAAACTTTCATATAACTTTGTATAACAATTCGTTATCATGTTTTACAATATTCCAATTTAAATTCAATTGTTCTTTACAAATTTATTATTAATGTTCGTGGAGATAATCGACTATCTACAACACAGTGTTTCATATATTATGTGAAATACTATCTAATCAATAATCACTGCGATCGGTAAAGTCAATTACTGCAAATCTGTGTTATCGACTATATAAAACATAGTCCAATGGAATGATACATTCATTATAAATTTAGTAAGAATTTTTGGACAAGGAAATACTTGCTATACTACTTTTTTCTTTAATTTTCACAATATATAAAAACAAATTTGATAGTATAATATGTAATAAAAATATATATGTATGTAGTGGATAAAAAATAATATATATTGTGTGAATTCCATTTTATTTCTATTTCTATATTTATTTTCTTTCAATTATATTGTAAAAAAAAAATAATTAGTAATTAATAAGTACTTACCATCGTAATCTACAGAACCATCTCCTTTAACAGGTGGCAACGGAGATTGCTTACGTGTATCTCCAGTAATGTCTCCAATTGATTGTAAACGATCACTTTCTCGTCTTCTACTATATGGTGTTAATGCAGTATAATATATTAAATAATTTATTATACACATATCCTTCGATTATTTTGTTAATATACTTACTTAAATATACTTACAGTGAAATATAATTTTGTGCTGTCAAAGGAGGCGACAATTCATCGGCAGCATCATAATAATCTTCATCTTCATCTGATGAAGAATATGAAAACTGAGGTACTGGTAAGTCTCTATTATCTACAACTAAAATATAATGACATAAAGTTAATGATTTTTATAAACGTAATAATTCAATATTTTTTAGATATAAACAAAATAATATATTAACCATTGGATAAAGTTGGTATTCTTGATTCTGTACATTCTGAACCCAATTCAATACCAGTTTGTACTGTTGATTCTGGTTCTATAACAGCAACTATAAATATTTTATAAATTAATATTGAATAAGTCATAATAAGTTTACAGGAACATATACCATGATTTATAGGTGGTGTAGAATTCATTGTATCAGTAGAAGGTCCTCTGTATATACCATTAACAGGAATAGCTGTATTCTGAAATGATTAATAAGAACATGAAAAGTTTTTTTTACAATAAATATAATATATATATATATATATAATAATTATAATACCTTTGCAATTTGTAATTGGACAATGGTATGTTTAACAGAATTAAGCATCGCATTTGCTTGCATCAAAATTGCATTGTAACTTTCTTGTATTTCTTCATTTTCTGTTGCAAGACTTTGCTGTTTTGTTTCAATTATTTTAATTTGATCAATTAACAGTTGGAGATAAGCATCTGCCTCTGCCACCTTACGATTGAAATCTTGTTTGGGCGGTGATTTTTTTGGATCCCATCGCTAGATTCCATGAATCATTTTTTTACATATTTGTATACAATAATATATTATCCAAAGAATAAAACAATATGTTTGCAATTATACCGCATATGAGTGACGCAATATTGTATCTTCTAAAGCATCAACCCAGCATTCACGTTCCTCACCATTACGTGTTTGGAAATGAAAAGTTTTAGGATCATCTTTGTATGAAGATGTAGTTATGGTAAATGTACTATCATCTTCATCGTCGATACCTATAATAGCACCTCTTAATCTAACACATCCTCTACGAGCACCACGCATCATTTTTTCTTTACTCTACAAATAAAATGCGTTTAGATTTTAGTTTAATCAATTTCTATTTTCATCATTTAAATCTAATTTAATAAAATATTGAATGATGCTATATGTAGTAAAAAAAAATGAAGAATTATGACAATTGTTTATTCAAAAATACATTCCTAACATAAACATAGATCATTATTATAATTATAATAATACAACTTTAGATCATGTCAAATGTGTCAATTTGTTTTATGGATAATGGAGCGAATGGGATAAAAAAAATCTTAATTAAATTATTTATAAAGCCCGCGAATATGTAACAAAGGGTATAACACCTGTAAACTAAAGCAATAGATTTCCTAGCTTTTATGTTAATTTTAAATAATACTTACAGTATAATATGATAATAAGCCAGCGTTATCGTCTAAAACAAACCACCGATATTGCCAGCCATTAACAACATTTGTCCATTTACTAAGTGAACCCTCCATCGTCGACATTGTTTGTTTCTTGATGATTATGATTGTGTTGTATGTGTGTGTGATAAAATTTATAGAAAAATCAGAGTGGAAACTCGCAGATATAAAGCTTGCAAATAAGCTCTAATCTATAACGAACGATTCCATTCGCAAATAACAAATGTCAAACACGATCGAATGCACACATACACATTTGTATTTACATGTTTAGCAGTCAACCCAAAAAGTACAAAACAAATGTCAATTTTCAATATTTATTATCAATTCTTATTTCTTTATGCACTCGTAAATATTTTAGATATACAAATATTTTGACTTAAAAAGATATTTTAGTTATTAAAATCATCGAAGAAACATACACGAATTATTTTACTATCATTTAATCGAATGATATTCAATTTTATTCTTTAACAGAAGGTTAAGGTCTTCTTTTCGCGTTGATAGTAGTAGATACATTTAAATGATGCTTAGATAATTTTGAACAAATTTGTAGATAATTTTTTGTAGCATTGTAATGAAGCGACATCTGTCGACTATAAATTCAAATAGAAATTGATGGGTCGCCATGTTGTATATTCATTTAATAACGCTTGTCATTATAAACAAAACTGAGAATTGTTAAATTTGGTGCAGATTTGTTTAATTTATTTCAAATTATCAGTCATTATTTACAGAAAATATTGTTTTATTTAAGTTCATTTTTAAGTAAGCATTATGAGTTCTGAATTAGTTTTAGGTATTCGATCAAATTCACAAAATTTAACAACCATCAAATTACGCGACATTAATTTAAACAATAAAGTTGAATTTTTAAGATACCAGACTGCAGCAAAAGCTAATTTAGCCAAGGAATCGTTTGGTAAGAATATTCATTTATTTTTAATTTAAATTATTTATTAATTTAATAATATGTTATTAACCACAGAACTCATATATTGTGGTTGTATTTTGGAAGATGATATGTGCCTGGAAACTTGTGGTCTTAAAAGCGGTGCAATGGTACATGTTTTAATGAAGAAGGAAGAAGAACCTCCAGTACCGGTGAAATATATATCTGAAGAAAGTATTCTACAGTTGGCTTCTACATTTAAATCTTTTAATGACAATCCTGCATTTAGAAGTGCCTTGCACGTAATTATCAATAATATAATATACCAGAGTTTAATTAAATATAAGTAAGTAAAGTTAGATACTTATACAATGTATTTTAGCGTTTGAGTAAAAGGCCAGAAGTTATAGAAAACATTATTTCGTCATCTCCCGGATTACACGAGGACACTGTTGCAATTGCTATGTTACAAGATCCTGATCTGATGGGTCATTTTACAGACATAGATACCATTAAAAGGTAAGATTTTTACTAATACATTTATATATACTTTACTAGTATATTAGATCACATAACGTTAATATGTTTATTATTAATTAATTGAATTGCATTACAGAATTGCTGAATTGCATCCAGTACTTGTAGAAGCTGCACAAAATTTAGCTGCCGCCGTACATGAAGAAGCACATAACAATGCCACAGCTGGTTCTAATTCAACCCTGATGAATACACCCCCTACTGCATACTCTTATAGTTTAGATAATTTAAGCGACGATGAGGAAATGGCTGGAGACTCTTCACAATCATCGGATTCTACTCAACCATCGAATTTGAGTTCTAATCCATCTAATAATATTACTGCGCGAATTGCAGCCGCTATTTCAAGAGCAGGAAATCGTGCCTTTCCATTATCCAACTCTCCGTCTTCTACATCAGCTAGTAGTACAAATTCAGGTGTTATAACTACTGAAATGTTTACGCAAGCTATGCAACAAGCATTTGCAACGACACCCCCACCGACAGCTACTACAGCTCCAACTTCTTTATCGCCGATATTACCTGCCACAGTTCCAGATTCTGTGGATTTACAAAGACAATTAGCCCAAATGCACGAAATGGGTCTCCATGATGATAATATCAATATTCAAGCATTGATATTAACAAATGGCGATGTACAAGCTGCGATCGAACTTGTATTTAATAGTTTTAGTGACAATTAGGATAATTAATAATAAATACTCGTTTATTACGATGACCAATAAACAAGACCTCTTCTCTCATAGGCTTTCGAAGTTATTTCTTTCGTTAATAATAGAATTATATAAAATTGTAAATCATGCTCTTTCTCGAGGACTTGGTTTTTATTATTTATTTCTAGTTTTGTTAAAATTATCCAATCGAGAAATAACATTTATTAATAATAAGAAAATTGTAAAATATATATATATATATATATATTAATAACATACTCGATACATTTAGTTGCAATAAAAAATAAAATGACATAAAATATTATAAATTTATTTATTATACGCTTTGAAAAAAAGAAATTATATATTTGCATATGTTTCTTTAATCGCCTACATTGTTCTTGAACACAGATAATAATATGATATAATTGAAAAAATGAATGAACGTTAGTCAATGTGGGAAGAAAGCTAGCAGACTGATTTTAACTTTTTGTGTGTGATGATATTTATGAGAAAAGTAGTATAGGACATAGTATTTGAGTTTGTGTGAGTATAATAAAGACTAATCGTATGGTGGTAACGCGCAGCTATGGTGGTAACGCGCGCAGCTATAGTGGTAGTGGTATTGATGGGGGGGGGGGGTAGTAGTAACGGGATTCTTGGTGGGGAGAGGGTAACTGCTTGCCGCGCTTGTAGCGGTTGTCAGTGACAGTTGAGCTGTCGCGGCGTTATGATATGTGGTAGAAGTTACTTGATTTTTTTTTGAACGAGAAAAGCGTCCGTTACACCCGGCACCCGGTTCGAGTACGCGTGTATATATGTTCAATAGAAATAATAGCACGTGTACAAAGAGGGAGATATATATACGTGATCGTGACGATATTTATAACGGGACTCTTTATAGAGATTACATCTAGACGATCTCAATAAAAAGGTAAAAACAAAAGATGAAGAACATCAAAATTATATTTGTATATAAAAAGAGAAGGTTATATTCAAGGGTTGTGTGTAATAGTAGTAGTAGTAGTAGTAGTAGTAGTAGAAGTAGTACAGTCTGTATTCTGTTAATTATATTGCTATCAATACTCGTAGATGCACATATATGTTTAGATATAAATAGACTACATTCAAAAAACTAATCATTGTCGGTAAAGTCAAAAGCTATCATTTGTTTGATTAAATTTTTCGATTAGTTTCTAATTTTTCTCTCTTTTGTCTCATTGTACAAAGAAATATAACCGATTCGTTCGAAAGTTTTCTTTCGTTAAAATGACGCCAGAGCGCAGTAGCGTTTTTCCTTTCTTTAGATTTTCTTTTTTGAAATTCGACCCCCATTTGACAGATGATTTTTCAATGGTACGTTGTACACAATGGCGAAGAATTTGGGCATCGTTAAGAAAGAGGGTTTCTCTTCGTGTTACCCTTGAACTTAAGAATTTTCATAGTTCTCTCTCTCCTTTTTATTCCTTTTTCTATTTCTATTCTACTACTACTACCACCACCATCACCACCACGATCACCACCACCACCATACAACTATCGACTTCTCGTCATTGACATTGTGTAGAGAAAAAAAGGTTTAGGAACTTTTTATCGTACAAAAATGATTTTTTTTCATCCTTTAGTGAGATGACAGGGGGAGGAATCATAAGGGTTGCAACAACGGCATAACATCTTACATTATTTTCATTTTATTTTTATTTTTTTTGTCTTCACCTTCGATTCGTCACATTTCAATCTCGCGCTTTAATTAAATGTTCGACAAAAAATATGTCCTCTTTAGACGAATGCATTTCCTTTTTCTACGTTTGAGCAATCATGCATTACTCATGTATTCGGCAAACACAACGATTACGATGTTCTTGGAACATACGATTACTATTGCTCTCTTTTTCGTTCAACTTTTAATTCTTTACACGTTGTAAAAGTTGAAAACACACACGTGTCTTCTTCGAGCATGCGTGTCACTCTAATTTTCAATCAGTTTTTTTTTTTTTTTTTTTTTTTTAAACAAATATTTCACCCATACTTTCATCGATGATTTCATTTTATAATTCAAATTCTTAAACACGATTTCATTTCGATCATCATTTATTTATATTATCATTGTTGATTGTAAATAAATTGAATAAAAATTCATATTAAATATTGGTGATTAAATTATTGTTACATATTTCTAAATGCTTTTCAATTGACATAAGCAAAAATAAAAGAAATTTTCGTTGGTCCTTGAATTGCGTTAAATTGTCAACATATATCTCGAGGTCGTCATTAAAATATATAAATGGTTAATGAATTGGCGACAAGAGAAACGCAAATAGAAAACGTCTTGTTTGATCTAATTAAATCGAATATTGTCATTTTTATTTATATATATACATATATTGAAACAATTTAAATTATTTTAAGTATTTCAAATCTTTCTTTTTAATTCATAAAATTGTATAATTTTGTAATTTATATTTGAACTTACCTGTGTTCTCTTTAGAGAATTAGATTTACGAATGTTTTGTTCAATGTTTTTTAACAGTAGGAATTAATATTTAAATTATCTTATAATTATTATAATATATAAATATAATATTTAATATTATATTATAATATTTAATTTTTTTATATTATATTATTATTTATTATTATATATTATATATAGATTATTATTTATATTATATTATAATATTTAATATTATATTTAAATATTATAAAATAATATTATATATATTAAATATTAAATAGAAGAAGAAGAAGTTTATTTTTCAGGTATTCCCCTTTAGGGTTTTTACCCCGAAGGCCCCCCCCCTACATTATTAAATATTAAATATTATAATATAATATTTTTACACACAAAATAATATTTTATATATAATATTATAATATATATTTATATATATTTATATTTTATTTATATTTTATTTTATATATATATTATATATATTTATTATAATATATATTTATATATAATATTTATATATATTAATATTTATATATAATTCTTCTTATTATTAAATATATATGTATAAAAACAATTAGAAATAAGTCAAATTGGTTCAGTTTGTAAATCTAGTGTTAAAGACATAGTTTTTCATTTATTAACAAAAAAAATAATTAGACAATGTTATAATACTTCGGTTGAATTAATTTGATCGGTTAATTAGATAGGTCAGGTGTTAAGGATAAAACTTAAATATGAGATATATAAGTTGGACAGTAAGATGAATCGTGTTAATTAAAAGGAATAATTAATTTGATTTGATTAAATGAGTCTCGCATTATAACGTGCTAGAAGAGAGTAATTATGCATTCTGGCTAATAAATAAGTATAATTTCCTAATTGTCTATAAGTCAAGCGGGTACTCTTTTTAAGTATGTAATTGTGATTAACGGTCAAGGGTAAGTAAGACGAACGATTAGATATCGATCGATTACTCGATAATCACAATTTCATGGAAGAAAGGATTATTACTTTTCATTTCTATTTTTAACCATTTATTTATTATTCCATTTCATTTATCCGATTATATTTTGTTTAACAGGAATTCGAAGAGGATTAATCGAAGAAGGTGACGACTCCGACAGAAAGAATTTAATTTTTAATTTTAAAACCAAGTTTTAATAACAAGAAGAAGAAGAAGAAGAAGAAAAAAATAAAAACCATAAATATGGCGCACGAAAATGGTATAAATGGAGATACAGATTCTGAGACGGTTGAGTTGAATCCTCTTAGAAGAACAAGATTTCTCGTTAATCGAGTGGACAGTGTAGAAGGTCGGACAAGTCTTTTGGGTGAACAGGAAACGAAAAAATCTTTGAGACATATGACCAGAGAAGCTTTACCTAGGCTCGACAACTATAGAAACATTATGAGCATTCAAGCTGCACACAGACCATCCCTCGATGAACTCCACAATCCTACTCTCCTTAACAAGGTACAAGTTTTTCTTATATTACAAACATTTTTTTTCCTTTTCTTTCCTTTTCTTTGTACTCAAATCAATAAGAGGATGAAAAAGGATACTTTCTACCTGCTTTTCATAGTATCCTAATTCTAGTATTTAATGAATAGGTTGTTCGTCCTCTAAAATAAATAATGAAAAAAATATCTTTCAGAGAGATTTTAACTGGTTAGAATTAGAATTCGTAAAAATTATACAACTATTTTATTTATACAGTTATATATATAATATATAAATAACTAATACTAAATAACTATAAGAATAAATAATAAATATAATAATATATATATATATATATATTGTGGGTCAAAAAAATGACTTATATAATAATTATATTAATATAATTATAAATTATATATAATATAAAAAATGACTATAAATGACTATTATAAAATGCGCAATACAAATTTTTGTAGGAAATTAACTGCTCTATAAAAATGGTGTCTTATGTTTTGGCGATAAAATTAAGCGTTCAAAAGATATTCAGAGACAAAAATCAGTACACATGAAAGTTTGTCTTTAGAATTTTAGAATTTATTGTCGAGTTATAAAATTCATAAACAAAAATGAAATTTGTCTTAAAATAATGAAACTTAAATCTTCAATATCATTCAAATGGTGAGGTTTACGGAAAAAATATAAGATACCTTTTTTGTAGAGCATTAAATTTCCTACAAAATTCGTCCAGAACATTTTTCTGTACAATCATTAAATAATGAGAAAGGAATTTTAATCTATTGGACTGAAAAAAAAATAAAAAACTGCGATGCGGAGGATCTTCCTATTAAAATTAAGAGCTCATATTTGGTGACAATTTGTTTAAGGTGTCTAGCAACCCATTTTTCCGTGGCACTTGAAAAAAAAAAAAGTCATTTTTTTGACCCACCCTAATATACATATATATATATATATATATATTATATAACTATATTTTAAATTTAATAAATTTAATTTAATTTGAATAAATATAAATATAATAAATATTTAAATATTGGATATTATATTATGATAAATTAGAAACTTTTCAAATTTATTTTCAATATTTTAACAAAATCACGACGAGACATGTAAAGTAAATTATTTTTCCTTTTTTTTATTTAGTATATTTTAAATTCACGATATCCAATCATCGTAAATTGTATTTCTGCTGTAGTATAAGCTCACGTTTAGAATGAAAAAAAAAAAAAAGAGAATGTTTAACATCAGCAGAAATAAAAGTTTCCGACTTATAAATATTTTTCTATCTATGTGCAGCTAATCCTTCTTTTTCTTTTTTTTTTTTTTTTAAGACTTTTATATATACAGTGTCTAACAAAGATAAAACCATATTCATAGGTAAACAAACGAATTGTACAATTAAAGAGGGCACTGTAAAAAACTGAAACAAATTACATTTTTTTTTGTTCGTTTACTTTTGTTCGTTTATTATAATATTATAATAAAATACAAAAAAAGTAATACTAAAAACTAATAATAATTAATTTAGTAGTAATTAGTATTAATATTATATTATTTAGTAATTAATTAGTATATTAATATTAGTGTAATAATATTATACTATTAATATAATATTATAATATTATATATATAATTATAGTAATATTATACTATTAATATTACAATATATTAGTATTAATATTATATAGTATATATATATATAGTATTATAAATTATATTAGTATAACTATTATAGTATAGTAATATTATATATTATATTATAATATTATACTATATATATTAATATTACTATAATATTATAATATTAATACTTTTTATTTTCACTGTACACTAATCGTATATTTTTCTATTAGAGAAATCGTTTAACTCGTTTAAGTTAGAAAGTTGTTGATATATATATTCTCTAATGTATATATACATTAGAGAAAATAGCAAAAAAAGAAACTAGAGGTTCGAGAAGGAAAGAAAAAAGAAAAAAATATCGTGTACGTACGTATAATATACGTATATCGTTTAATGATGTCATAGATGACGATGATATTGAAATTTTGTCGTTTATGAAATGGTCATTCGTAAACTGTGTTGGGTCAAAATGAAGACCCTCACGTTCTGTCAGTCAATTAAAGCATCATCTTGAAACTACGACGAAGAAAAGATCTTTCGAGATCGAGAAAGAAAACACGCGGTTGTTATTAACGCCATGAACGATAACAGATGATCAAATTTACAGACGGTAATAATGGTCTTCTTTTTCATTTGAATAAAAAGGAAAAAAAATATTACAACAAATGAATAACAAATGATTTCTTTATTTTTAGATACACACCATTTACCAACCAACCCCCCAATTTGTAAATCGTTGAATTATCCACATAACACGAAAGGTTTTGAAATCTTTCAGCGAAAGTTTTCGTAAAATATTTCCAAAAAAATCTTTCAGAAACCTAGCAGGCATCATTCTAAAATATATTGAAAAAGATTCATAAAAGATTTTACAAAAATATTTGAAAAAACATTTCTAAATTTTTTTACTGATAGAGTAATTAAAATGTTTAAAAGTATTTCTATGAAACCTTGCAGAAACCTTGCAAAAAGATTTGTTAAAAATATTTCAAGACATTTTACTTTGTAGATTCTTTTTAGAAACCTTTTTAATAGGTTTAAAACCTTGTCAAGAAATGTTTTAGAAAGTTTTCAGAAAGTTGTTATGTTATGTGGGAATTTTTATACAAATTTATTACAATTTTGTTAATATTCACTTGTTGGATTCATTACTTTAAAGATAAAAAACATTTACAAAATTATTTTAATATATTAATTTATTGAAAAAAAGCAGAATAGTTTTTTTTAGTATCTAACAATGAATTGCAAAAAAAAATTGTAGCTCAACACCAATAGAAACCAAAAATACCAAAAAGATGTTTTGTTTCAATATTCTTTAAACTTGACAATATTTAATATACGAAACGTGTTAACCGTACATTAAAAAAAAAAGGAAAAAAATTATCAAAGAAAATAAAATGACAATCTTTACAAAGTTTTTCTCTCTGATAATTTTCTTCTAGTCGTGCGGTTTAAACGAAATAAAAAAAAAATAAATTTAGAGAGGGAATTTTAAACGATGAGAAACAAAGAGGAAAAAAATATATAAAAAAAATCAAACAAGAGAAAAGAATTAATAACAATATACACAGATGAAGAATTTTTATGTCATGACGATAATAATTACACAACGAACCATTATCTCTCTCTCTCTCTCTCTCTCGTGGAATTAATTTTTCATTAATCTTTTACAAATTTATCGTTGTGTTTTATGAAACATGCGGAAAATGTTAGAAGACACGAGGAATGTTTTTCATTAACTATGCATGCAGTATACAACCAACATATGCATAAATATTTACATTTATTTATATAGTAACAACTTGCAGATTGATTCTTAAGAAAGGATCATTGATAAATGATACAATAATTATCATCTATTAACAATCTTAACATATGTAACATAAAATTAAAATGTAAATCTTATTCTTGTAGTTTGAAAAATGAATTTCTTTTCGGCGTCTTCAACATAATGCTGTGTCTCTCTCTACCCCTTACTAACAGAAGCGGCGTTGTTAAATGTTTAAACGAGATCCATAAGGAAGGCCAACGTAATGTGTGCACAAAGTAATCATCGCAAACGAACGATTATTATCAGAGAGAAAGAGAAGAAAGAAAGAGAGATATATGTATGAGTCATAGTAGTTTATAACATTTTTTCTTTCATTATTATTATTATTATATTCTTATCTGTTAGTAATCTTACTTTAGTAAGAAATGTAAAGAGTGTAAAGATTTAATAAAAAAAAAACAGATCTGTGCACAGATCACACACGGTAGAAGTGAAACCTTCAAAGAAAACCAAGCTTCTAAACATGAATATATCGAAACAATTGAATTGTAATACAGCGCCATCTATTGAAAGAACCTTACAGAACCTAGATAACCTCTAAATAAAAATCTTTAAATTAGTAATAAAAAATAATAATAAAAAAAAATCGCGATAAAAATTGTGCTATGTGCTAAGTTGGAAAAAATCACGTGAAATAAAATAAATTTCATTAAAATAAGTTGAGTAGTTTCGGAATTATTAGTGGACAAACATATTGTTACACTGAATTTTTATATATAGAATTTTATTAATTAATTAATTAATATATAGAATTAAATTATATATTGAATTTTATTAATTAATTCATTATTTTTGTTTCATCGGTTTCACGTTCTTCCGTTTCACGATTTTCAAATCACCCTGATTCTAAAGAAGTTTTCACTTAAAAAAAAAAAAAACAAGAAATAATTAGAAGTCTTTATTGATATATAGTGATGATAATAACACAATGATTCAGAAAATAGAAACACCATCAGTCGTTGATCCGAATTGTCAAGCATACTTAGGTACATACATATATATATACCTACATCGGACTTAATATAGGAAATCGCGTGCTTCGAATACATTATGTTGCGAGGGTTAAGCGTTCGTTATTATTTCACTATCGCGGCACATGTCACGAAATGTCTAAGCGCTTAACGCATTCATAACGTAACACATTTGACACGATCAAAAATCCAAGATGATCGACTAAACTTAATCCCTCCTTTTTTCATTTCTTTTTCTAGATTGGTTGAATCAATTTCAATTTTCATGCCTCAACGTTTTCGTTAAGACAAAATAAAATTACAAATTAAAAGTAAAAAAAAAAAAAAAATAGCCCTCAGATAGTTGCAGATGCATTGACTGTTATTTGCAGAGGGCAAAGTGTCACCGGGGATCGGATCGGATCTGCGGAGGTGTGCAAGAATAATTTCGTAATTATAGTAGAGTCCAAGGCAAGATATTCGTGGATATAACGGGAAATAATTGGACGAAACGAGCCAGCGTATCTTTTAAGAGTCGCTATAGAAATTCTGATGTGTGTGTGTCGCAGGGGGTCAACTATATGACAAAAATTTGATAAATTATTCAATGTTTTATTCTAATCTTTTTATTTGTGTTTAACTGTTATGACATTTCACAAACAAATCCGATTGCTTACTGGCTTTATTTGGATTGTCCTGTTCTTTATTGGATATATATGTTACTTAATTCCATTTAGGGCTTCTTCTCGAGGTGAAACTACCAACTGCAATTAATTTGATATCGTTGTACGATCATTTTAATATCCAATGCAATCTTACTGAACTTGAAAAACAAAACAAACGTCTTTGAATTTCTTTTGTAAAAAGCATTCCGATGCTGGGCGTGTTGTACATAATATACATATATGTATATATATATATATATATATATATATATATGAAGCATCATTACGTAAATCGTTAGTCTTCATTGGGTGACTCGCGGACGACCCTTCCTCTAGACGAATCACCTTCAATGTCGATAACCACCTCTAAATCTCAATTTACGCATAACGTCTGCATAGAAAAAGAGAGAGAGAGAGAGAGAGAAAGATTCATATGTAATGCATCTTTCTTTCTTTCTTTCTTTCTTTCATTCTTTCTTTTTGTCAATCAAATTCGATATTTTTCCATTCCAACCCATCTTAAGATCCCATTATTTATTTAACAATCATCTTGAACGTTAAGTAAATTGACGTTAATCGCACGTTAATCTCGTCGATTTTCGGCCTTGAGAGTTTGCGGCGTTTATCAATTACATATATCGCTATAATAAAAACGAAGACGATTATTATTTTCGCTTAAGTTAATCGGTAATTGCATTTAACGCTTTGATTATGTTTATGCAATCGTTAAAAAAAGGATTATTCTTGTTAATTTAAGATGTTCGATGTTGATTTCTCGTTTGAATTCAAATGGAATTCATGAAAGAAATGTATACATTTGTATTTGATTTTTTTTATTTTTGTTTATATAAATATAGACATCCGGCTCGAACACACTGCCCATAACAGATGTAAAATTACCGGTATCGGGTGTCAAATTTGGTTGGATTCAAGGAGTTTTAATGAGATGCCTCCTAAACATATGGGGGGTTATGCTATTCCTTCGACTTTCTTGGGTAGTTGCTCATACTGGTATAGGTGAATATCAAGTATATATATATAAAATAATCCTTATGATTTATCAAGTATTATTTTCATTTAAAAATATGATTTTGTAGGACAAGCTATACTTTTAATTCTCACAACTACAGTAGTAACGACCATAACGTGTTTATCGATGTCAGCCATTAGTACGAACGGATTGATAAAAGCAGGTATTTACACAAAATTTTAATTAACTCACTATGTGACATAGCAAACTATATCAATTAATATTCAATTTATTATTTATTTTAGGTGGAACATATTATATGATATCCCGTTCACTTGGTCCTGAATTTGGTGGTGCCATAGGATTAATATTTTCTTTAGCAAATGCAGTTGCCTGTGCAATGTATGTAGTAGGGTTTTGCGAAAGTTTAGTTTTGAATTGTCTTAAATCATATCAACTGTGCATACTTGACTGTGGCAGCTGGGATATGAAAATTATAGGTTCGATTAAAATATCTCCTTTTAAAAAATGAAAACAAAAATCCAATAATAAATCCGTAATGATTGTTATCTTTTCATTAAACAGGTAGCTTGACCATAGTTATCCTTCTTGTGGTCATAATGATTGGTTTAGAGTGGGAAGCCAAAGCTCAAGTCTTTCTTCTGATCATACTTCTTCTAGCCATTTTTGATTTTATGATTGGCACTATTATTGGGCCCAAGAGTGACGCAGAAAAAGCCAAAGGATTTATAGGATATAATGGTAAATTATATTTTTCTTTTTTTTCCTTCCTCATCTTCTGTATTTTTATTTGTTTTTTTTCTGTTTTCTTTTTTCTAGCCAACTTATTTGTGGAGAATTTCAAGCCGGATTATAGATACAGCGAAGGAGTGCATCATGATTTTTTTTCAGTCCTCGCTATCTTCTTTCCGGCAGCAACAGGTATCCTGGCAGGTGCGAATATATCCGGTGACTTGAAGGTGATTTAGTCCTTTCGTCTGCAGAAAACAACGTTATTAAAAAAAAAAAATCTTATTACACAAAAAACAAATTTGTTGAATATATTCGCAATTTTAAGATCCGTTTTAATTATTTATATTTTATTTGACTTACCGTTCTATTTTTAAATAGGATCCACAATCGGCTATACCTAAGGGAACTTTACTAGCGATATTATTAACAACATTATCGTATATTCTTATGGCAATTATGGTTGGAGGTAGCGTCATGCGAGACGCTTCCGGTGAAATAAGTGACATAAGAACTGTTAATAATTCTTACATCGTGCAATCGTTATTTGACGTAAGTAACGACACTTCAGCAGAAAATTTGACCATTACTGGAAATTGGAACGAAACTATTTGGAGTATATATGATACCAAATTTAATTGTACGTCCGGATGTAACTATGGAACTCATAATAGCTTTCAGGTTTGTTTTATAATTAAGATCCGAGAGTTTAGAAATGAGACAGATAGATTTATTATGAACGAATCAATAATTATTTATAGGTAATCGAATTAGTAGCCGCTTTTGGTCCTTTTATTTATGCTGGCTGTTTCGCAGCAACCCTATCAAGTGCCTTAGCTTCTTTGGTCTCAGCACCAAAAGTATTTCAAGCTCTCTGTCTTGACAATCTTTATCCTGGAATAGGATGGTTTAGCGGGAAAAAAGATAAGGAACCTATTCGCGGATATTGTCTTACTTTCGTTATTGCCTTTTCTTTTATACTAATCGGTAAACATATACTTCATATATATTAGTATATATTAGTATATTAGTATATTTGTTTTATAACGATGCATTGACAATTGACAATTATTTTTATTTATATTTTTTCAGGAGAGTTAAACGTTATCGCTCCACTGATATCAAATTTCTTCTTGGCTGCATACACTCTTATTAATTTCAGTACTTTCCATGCTTCTCTAGCAAGACCAATTGGTTGGCGGCCAACATTTAAGGTAGTTGCACTTCACCTATTTTTCTTTGTAATAAAGATTATAAACATAAGTAGTATCCCGTTAGTCGAAATGATTTTTTCTTGATGTATTTCAGTATTACAATATGTGGCTCAGTCTTGCCGGTGCTATTCTATGCGTTTCTGTGATGTTCTTGATCTCATGGTGGACAGCCTTGATTACCTTGTTCATAGTTCTAGCGCTATATTTGGTAGTCTCGTATAGGAAGCCTGGTAAATTTGATAAATCATTTTTGCAAATAGTTTAATCTTTGCAATTGTAACAAGTTTCGTTGGATTAATTGAATATTTTTAATTATAGATGTAAATTGGGGATCTACCACGCAAGCCCAATCGTACAACAATGCCTTAACAGCGATTCAACAATTAGATAGGGTAGAAGAACATGTCAAAAATTACAGGCCCCAATTATTAGTTCTTACTGGAATACCATCCACGAGAGTGTCGTTAGTCGATTTTGCTCATAACATTACGAAAAATCAAAGTTTATTTATTTGTGGACACATTGTAGAAGTATGAACAATAATTATGAACACATATATTTATATTCTTTTATCAGATTAATTAATCGTTGTGTATTTTGTAGTCATCGATATCGTACAAAACACGCAATAACATGGTAGCGAAATGTACTTCGTGGTTCAGAGCGAATAAAATAAAAGCATTTTATTCCGTGGTCGATGGTGCCAATTTTCAAGATGGTGCTACTTCTCTTTTACAAGCTGCCGGTTTGGGAAAAATGAAACCTAATATTTTATTGATGGGTTATAAACAAGATTGGGCCTGCTGTTCGCGAGAGAATTTGAACATGTACTTTAATACCATGCAGTAAGTGTTACATTTTTAAAATGTCTTTCTATACTTGGACATAAAAGAAAAAAATTATTTATTACCGTGTCATTTTTATAGCAAAGCATTAGATATGCATATAGCTGTAGCTTTATTACGAATTCGTGAAGGATTAGACAGTAGTGGAGTTATAACTGAAGCTGAGGAACAAAAAAGATTTACTCCTGTGGTTTTACCAGCAAATCAAAGTTTCTCTCAACTTAGTCAAGGTAAATACTTATTATTATTTTATAAAATATATGTGGGACGAGCACCTCCATGCCAAACTTATTGGGCATCCGTGAGAAGGATTAGTCGGTGGGCCCTGGATAGCACAATTGGTTAAAAGAACAATCACCCGGAAAGCGAAAGATCCGTGGTTCGAGTCCCCCGGTCCAGTAAGAGTCCAGCGGTCCAATTTTTTCACGAATCCCACATATATATGATGATAATAATTAATTCTGATCTTTTTTCTTTTAGCCAGTAGTACTTCAGACATTTCAATACCAGGAAGTCCTGCTCCAAAACGTTCAAAAGTAGTTAACGAATATCCAAATCCATGGGCGAGCGAACAATCTCGTGAAAATCAACAAAATGTTAATCCCATAAGAAAGGAACTATTTAATGCTGTTGCATTATTTCAAAAGAAACAAAAAAAGGGAACAATTGATGTTTGGTGGTTATATGACGATGGTGGTTTAACACTTTTATTACCTTATATTATTAGTACGAGGCGTAATTGGTCGAATAGTAAATTAAGAGTTTTTGCTCTTGCGAATAAATATTCAGAACTCGAGTACGAACAAAGGAAGTATGTTTTCTTTATTATTTTTATTATTATATACTTTTCATTATTATTATATTTATTATTATTATATACTTTTATTATTATTTTTTTTTTTTTAACAAAATTCTTTTAATTTTAACAAAAGCAATTATTGTATGTAATAAAATGTTGTATGTTTTCAGTATGGCTAGTCTTTTGTCGAAATTTCGGATAGATTATTCGGCATTAAAAGTAATTCCGGATATATCTAAACCAGCTCAAAACAGTACAAAAAATTTCTTTGACACATTGATCAATGATTTCAAAGGATCCGATAATACCAAAGAATCTGACGATGGTAATTTTTTATATTAATCACAAGATTAAAACTTTACCAATGTGTAATCTTGAAAGAATATTTTTTTTTTTGTATATTATTTTGTTCTTTTTTAGGCGTCATAAAGGAATCCGAACTTATTGCGATGAAAGAGAAAACAAATAGACATCTCAGATTGAGAGAATTGTTGCTTGAAAATTCTATGGAAGCAAATTTAGTTGTTATGTGAGTAAAACATATTAGATTTGTTTTTCATTTTCTATATATTACTGTATAAATGATATAATTTAATAATTTATATAGGACGTTGCCAATGCCACGAAAAGGTGCAGTTTCCGCACCACTTTACATGGCATGGCTTGAATCCCTAACGCGTGACATGCCGCCATTTTTACTTGTTCGAGGAAATCATACGTCTGTCTTAACATTTTATTCTTGAATATAAATATGAAAGAAAGAAAAAAAGAAATATCAGGTGAGATATATATATATATCATGACAGAAATCGTATTTAATTGACGAATTTCTCTTTTATCATATTACATGTATGTGATGAGTGTAACAAAATCACTGAACAGGAAGAAGATGTATTCTAATTTTAGAACACCATATTTATACAGATAAAAAGCATCGTATCGTTGAAATTCTCTTTTATCTTTTTTTTATTTTAATGGTTTTTTATTCTGATAAATGCATCATCATATTGATCAAATTTGATTTGTCAATTTATAATATGAATATATATATTTAATAATACGATTAACAACAATAATGAGATAATAATAATCATAATAAATAATTATCTCATTGTGCGTTTGTAATTCATTTTTTTTTTTATTATTGAATTTGTCATAATTGGTGGTTTTATATATATAGTATAATCTCACTAATCCGGCACTTCAATAGACCGATACGTCCAATAATCCGGCACACCCCGCCCGCGCCACCCTCGCTCCTATATGCCTATGCGCTCCATCGCCGTGTCGTCGTCTAGCAGTCTAACCTCAAAACTTATCACTTTTTTCTCTATAATCCAGTAATTTGAACATTTCAATAATCCGGCACTCTCTGGTTTTTAATAGTTAGTTTAATAATTAGTGAGATTGTACTGTATATATAAAGTTCTTTTTTTTTTTTACATATTAATGAAGAATCATTGTTTTTTTTATAAGGATTAAATTTTACAATAAATTCAATGTGTTTTCTACATTTTAAACGTTGTTTCTCTTAAAATGAAAAATAATATATAAATATGAATAAGATAGAACTATTGATACATGATATTAAAACTTTGTAATTGAATTTGTTTTTTATTTTCTATTACAAAACATTTTTTTAACATGCAAAATATTCTATTATATCGTAAAAAAAAAACATTTTATGACTGTATTAATCAAATGACGTTTAAAAATGGGAAGCAGTATTTCAATGATTAAAAAAAAATTAAATGTATTTGATATTTGTGTATTTTTCTCTTGTTGTGCACAGACGATAGTAATGTAAACAAAGAAAAAAGGGATATAATATGCAAACTATAATATTATACTTAATGTTATTTTACTTATATATATATATATAAAACAAACAAACAAAAATAGTAAAAAAATTAATAATAGTTTTGTACATTATTAATTATGATATTTTCCTATTATATGATGTTAATTATCTTGTAAAATATAAAATAATATAATACTATGTGTGTGTGTGTGTGTGTGTGAGAGAGAGAGAGAGAGAAAGAGAGAGAGAGAAAGAGAGCAAAATGAATTTTAGTGTACAGGACCTTAATTAAGCTAAGTGCCTTTTATTGCGAAAAGCTTAAATTAAATATATATATATTAATATTAATGTAATATGAAAATTTTGGAATTCTTAATCATCGGTACTACTGTATAATATACGTATTTTTTTTTTGTAAATATAATATAGATACTGTATTAGAACTAATCGGCCAAATTTATTGATATATATATATATATATATATATATATATATATATATATAATATACTTAACTATATGTGAAAACAGTTAAAGAAATAATTTGGAAAGTATTTGAAATATTTGTTTCAATGGTTTTCCTCGAAAAAATTTACTCTTTCAGATACAATAACTACATAATATTAATTATGTATAATATCGTATTTCTTTGTATGTCTTTTTTAAAAAGACATGTATAATATAAATCTACCTGATAATATCAATGGATATTTTTTTTTTTTTATTACTAAGTATATATATATATAAATTTTCTGATTGCATAAATTGTGAACACGTTTTAACGACTAGTTGTAAATGCATTTATGGGAGTCAGAATATTATTATATATATTTAAAAAAAAAAACAAAAAGAATCTCAAGTTTGTCCTTAAAAATGTCTTAAATATTCTTGCAAAATGTCTAAATGTAAAATACTAGTTCATATTAAATGCAAAAGGTTTGATTTTGCTCGATTATTCGTAATAATATTTTATTTTGAAAAAAAAAAAGAAGTCTCCTTTATTCTAACCCCTTATATGCATAATGATAAAAAAGATTGTGCAATATTTATCATTATCACAAATACTGTCCTTTGCATCATTTTTACATATCAAATAAAACAATATTAATTAACTATTTTGTAAAAAAAAAAAAAAATAATAATATACGAATACAAAATGAATAGTAAAATTATGATAACAATTAGTAATAAATGTCATGGTTATTTGCTACAATATAACAAGATTTTACACGATGATGGTATAAACATAGAGATATTACAGATAGAGTAGGCGAACCATAGGCGGTTGTGTAAGTGGAAATGTCTCTGCATGAATATAGCAGCAAAAAACGAAAGGTTGATGTTGTCTCTCTCTAACTCATGCGGTACCGGCGCATGCGCAAGTTAGAGAGAGCCAACATTAACCTCCCATGTTCTATCTCTTTTTACTTCGCCGACAGGTTTTATGTTGGCTTGCCTGCTCTAAGTGTAGTATCTCTATGGGTATAAATACTGTAAATAAAATTGAAAAATAAAAATTATATATTAATGGCAAGAGAGCAAAAAAAAAATTATACAAAATAATTCTATTGGCAATATAAACTAGTAATTTTTTTTTTCTTATTTTTTTTTTTTAATTTAAACGCATCAAGTATATATTAGCTCTGTCTTTATATTTAAAACTTAAAATATATTATATTATTCATTATTATTATTATTTTTTTTTTGTTCTTTCTTAACTTTTTCATGTAATTTTATAATTTATACTTTCAGATATCAAAATGATATAAAAAGCTATAGAGAGTGATAGATGAACTTTCTTAGATTAAATTAATACGTGTTCAGCCCCATAAAGAAAGCTTCTTTTACTTGTTTAAAGTACTGGCTATTTCACTGAGATTATATGTCTTGCTATTCATATTATTATTATTTTTTATATTCTTTTTTTCTGTGTGTATTTGGTTTTTTGTTTTTTTTTTTAAATACTGCGAATATGTCTGGGTCTGCGTACTAACAAACAACAAGATGATAAACCAGAACTGACCTTTGCTAATTCAGACATAGGTAATGATCTAGTTGGAAATTCTATTTTCTCCATAAAAACCTTACTTGATTGAGGAATTTCATCCTCTGATCGATGAATTAGAGTACCATTGACGTAGAGAACATTTGCAGCAGCATCTTCAGGTACAGTTAATGTCTGGTAACTGTACGTTGCTTCTCGTTCAATCCTCTATACGAACACAATTAATTCATTCTATAATAAAACTGCTGACAAAACGATCAAACAATTGTTACTTATAAAATCTAATTTACCTTTAACACTTCTTGACATTCTTTGCCAGCACCAACGCAAATAACATCAGGTCCAGCCATAGAAACTAATGATTTCAAACGTTTTGATTCTGCAACCTTAAAAAATCAAAGAAATAACTATTATTACATTTTGCAAACTATTTATAATGCTTGTGTATTAGTGTATAAGAAAAAAAAACTGTACATGTGTTTATATCATAGCTACTTCATTGATAAATGTTATCATTTACAAAGATTCAAGCATTTATGCATCAATGAGCGATAATATTATTTTCTGCAAAAAAAAAAAAAAAAAGAGAATAAAGTACTGAGAGGTCGATAATAAAATGGAATGCGTGCTAAGGTGAGTGAGTAACTTTGCTATGAACTCCATGTGCACGAATATGCTAAGCTAACTTGCATTATCAGTTTTGATTTTTTTAAAGCATCGCTTAAATATTCTGCATTGCATTTGTATGCAGAATTTTATTTAACAAATAAAAAAGTCTATTGCTTTCTGTTTTTTTATTTTTTTGTTTTTTATAAAACGTGCGATCATTTCTCTAATTTGTGAAATACTTTTTTTTTTTATTCAATGTAATATGCATAATAAGAGAGTCAAACTAGTGCACCCAAACCTGAAGAGGGGCTGAGGTAAGACTCTCCACTATCACCTCTTCGCCACCATCACCCACCTTAAATGAATCATGAAAAATATGTTGTATGAGTATGATTTTTGTCTACAAATATTGACACATTCTGATTCCATGATATGTAACTGTATATTTAATAATAAGATAAATGTGCTGTAAATTAATTCGGTACTTACGTATTAACGTCACCGCAGTAAAAATTCAGCTAATGCGCCAATAAAGAGCAATCTTGTTGTTCGCACACAACAACCTTGTTGTTTGCACATAGCAACAGTCAGGGTTTCGTCATTTTTTAGTGCTACGAAAATGCGTATTTGGGATTTGCCAAAAACAGAACAAGATGCGAGGCATCATTTGGAATCTTTTTTATCAGAGTTCATATGGCGACAGTATCAGGTGAAAGAAAATAGAGATTGTTTTGAATCTATGTTAAATTCTATATCGGCCCATTTTCCATCGAAATCCGATTGACTACTTTTTATAAATAAAATGTTTCGAATTTTGAAAGTGTTTCAATTTTAAATAAAGTTTTTTATTCTATGATTTGTCGCAACAATTTAAGGTGTTGATTGGCGCATTAGCGGAATTTTGTTGCGGTGGAGTTAATACGTAAGTACCATTAATTCTAAATTATAATAATTTAAATGAACGTGTATCACATTATCGAGCATTAGTATAGTTTACAAAGATTATTAACAATTTTTAGAAACAATTATTCATTACTTTTATACTCATGAAAGATTATTATTAATAATAAGCATTTTTTAACAAATATACAAATGTTCCCATTTTGTCAACAAACCTTTATGGGTACACAAGGATATTCAGGAAATGCTGCAGCTACTGCACGAGCACCTGCTTCGTTTGTAAAATGTGACAAGCCGACAAAAAATTCACGGCCTACAATCAAATAATTTATATATGTATATATGTATTTACTAAATAATATCATACACATAAGCTTTTATTAATTATTACCTGTAAACAAGACATCTCCTCCATCTAAACGAGCATTTTTATCAGCTATTTCTATTAAAGGTATTTCTAATTCTTTTTTTAAAACGGCCCTAATAGTATCGATCTGAAATAAAAACATAAATTTATTATAAATTGTAATATTAATTTTAAAAAAAAGGAAATATGTATATATATATATACATAAATGAAATGACTTTAAATTAAGTTAAATGAGAATTGAGAGCAGTAAGGCGCGAGTTGAGTGGTTTTAAAAATATATATTCGTCAAATGAGAAGTTAATTTGATAACAAGGTCGATACCTCTTTTAGACGAGATGATTCGGTTGGCCGAGCGATTAGAGCAATACCATTACAAACAACGGCAATATCCTCGACGAAAACGCAAAGAGGTGCATTTTCGTCAGGTGGCATTTCAACAACGTCAATATCAAGTTCACGTAATAATTGAGCTAATGCTAAATGTTGCTTTCTAGCCTCGTCAAGCGTGACCTCCCCTCTAGTTCGCAATGAAAGAGGGATTCTACATAAAATTGCATGAGTATATCTATGTAATGGCATGACTATAGCAAACTTTTATTTTTTATTATGTCTAAACAATTTGTTCAAGTGATTTCTCAATTATTTGATCACACCGCTGATTACGGTTTTTTTTTTTATAATTATACCAACGAGAACACACCAATTTGACGTTTCACGTAAAAACAACACTATATTAATACGATCAATGTTACCAACATCTAAATATTATAATTTAGTCGTTGTAAAGTGTGAAGTTAGTTAGGTAGAGTTATTCCTTGTTTACTGTATAAGGTTAGGTTTACAACTATGTTGCATGAATAAAACAAGAAACTATATATAGGTTATGCATTTCTAATTCAACTTTTTGTAAATCAAATATTACAGTACAACTGTATAATTTTAACAGTAATGCTGTTTTATAATAAAAAAGGAATAACTTTCATGTCAAATTTTGAATCCCAAATAAAAAGGGATATTTATAGTTTATATGTTGGTAATCATTATTGAAAAGTGACGTTTTAGAACGACGATCCTTTAAGATAACCCTAAATAATGGAGATATTAAATATACTAAGAAATGACATTTCTTAAAGGGATTACAAATGTTATTGATAATGTGAAAATTGAAGTGTCTGTTTAAAATACGATATACGATGTGACATTTTATTTTGTAAAATAAGTATGCGCCTTAGCTTTGTAAGAACATTGCTCGTGTTTGCGTTATTGGGAAATATTATTATTTGGCACAGAATATGGAGGTTATTCGCAGCACAAAACACGTTAGGATTATTGACACCTGGTGCTGTTACTAATGATCCACCACACAAATTGCATCGTCGTTTATCTCGCCTTGTAACTATAATTATACGTCAATTTGAAAGTTTTGAAAATGACGTGGTGTCCACAGTGGAATCCGTATTGAATTCTTTCCCAACCATACCAATTTTAATTGTATGCGATGAGCTGCCGTATCCACCTTTGGAATTGCATTTTGAAAATGAAACATTGCAGAATGTTAAACTCATCACTTTGCATACCGATTTCAACAAAACTTATGAGGAAAGAAATCCTATGTTTTACATACGCACTAAGTTTGTATTATTTTTACCTGATGCTAGTCAAATACCCAACAAACAAATTCTACAGGTAATTCATTCATTTTATATTATAAAAGATTATAAACAAGATTATATATATATATATTATACAAGAATATATATATATATATATATAAATGAATTATATTAATTATTAATATATTTTTCATATAGAATACCATTGCACAAATGTCAAAATATGGAATAGTAAGTGTACCTGTAGGTGAAGTTACTTTATCTTGTCTTTCCGTGAACTTGAAGATTAAGGAATGGAGCTTACAATTCACTCATTCTTCTGACGTGGAATGTGATTTCGTAGTTGGAAAACATGCAACGATGTTAGAAGTCAAAACATTAAGAAAACTCTCCGATCCATTTCTATTGCCTTTTCCAGATGCATTGTACATACAAACTACAGCTATTGGTGCAAAGGTAAATTCATTTCTTTAATGTCAAATTTATTTTTAATTATTCGTTGATTTATCTATTTTTTATTATTTACATTTGCTTTTTTTTTTATTTACTCTAATAAGAGTAATAAATCGTTTGTGATTATTTTCTTAATGCTTCATTTGTTTTCTACGTGTGTGTTTTTTATATCATCTAAGTTTTAACATTTTCACGTGAATAATTTTGTTATTTAAAGTGGTAAGTGTTAATTTATTTGTTTTTATTTTGTAATATGTATTTATATTAGAATTTGGTTTATATTAATAATATTATAAGAGTAACATTTGATAGTTTTTTACATTGATAGATTCATATTCTAAAAGATCATCAGTTTAACGAAAGAAAGATGTTATATAGAAATCAACAAATTCAAGGAAAGTTGGAACAATTACATCAAAGTCGTGAAAAATTAATGTTTAAACAGTTAGGAATGAAAAAAGTAATAAGAGCTTCCAATTTAATTGAATGGTATGGATGCTCGAAAGAAACTTCAAGATGTTTTGGATCAGTGATAAATGGTATACCATCATATATTTATCAGAATCGACATACACCTCCTTGTTGTCTTGCTGGATTGAGAAAAGTTGCTCATCACGTTTTTGATCAGTTAGATGAAGTTGGTATTCGTTTCTGGTTAGAAGGAACATCATTGTTAGGTGCAATGAAAAATGGAGATATTCTACCATGGGATCATGAAGTACAAATAGGAATAAATAAATTTGATTTAGAAAGATCTCCATGGTTAGTTAAAGCTAAAGTTAAACCTGTTGTAGATAAACACGGTTTTGTTTGGGAAAAAGCTACAGAGGGTGCATTTTTTAAAGTACAATATTCCAAAATTAATAATTTACACGTTAACTTACTTCCATTCTATACTAAAAATGGATCTATGGTTAAAGACGCATGGTTTATGAAAAATGAAGATTTTCCTGAACAATTTCTTCATCCTATGTCAAGCATTGAATTTGCGGGTAGACAAGTTCCATGCCCAAATAATATTAGAGACTTTTTAGAGCTTAAATATTTTAAAGGAGTCGTAGAAAATCCAAAGCTTCCAAATAAGATCATTTTTAATTAAATTTCATTATTTTTATTATTGTTATTCGCATTCCATTAAATGCTATCGATGTTATTTCTTTTTTTTTTTTAGAATAATTCGTATTAAATAAAAAGTAACGACTGATATCGTTTTACGAGATCTGTTATAAACGTTATAATATTTCCAATTAATATAATAGGGAATTGATATTAGATAACTAATTATATTATTATTTGCACGCTTTGTATTAACTTTTTGTATTATTGAAAATATAATTATTAACAATAAGAACAAAATATTTAAGTGAAACATTTTTAATCGATATGAACTTTGATTTATGATTCCATGTAATGTTGAAGTAATAATTAATAAGTAGTTATATTGTAAGTCAGCATGCGTGAATTGAAAATGAGCAATAGTCATTAACATTGCATTATTTCTGCTTAGAAGTTAAGATAATAAAAAAAAAAGTACATAAATTTGATGCCAAATATTTCTACTTGTATTTAAAAGTCTAATAATAATCCCATTAACATTTGGACAGCTTTCAACAAAAACATCAAATAAAGTTATAACATTTAATAATTAATGCAATAATATGTTTTTACAATACCTTCGACTATTACTTACAAATATATATTGCAAATAACAAACTTCTCCTGAAGATATATTACTGTATAATGTGTTCTTTTTTTTTCTCATTCTAATTTAACATCTTTCGGTGGTGTTAATGTAGGTGGTTCTCGTATAAAACTTAATAATTTTTCTAATTTCATACATTCTAACTCAGTATCTGTTAAATCGATTTGCTTTTTCGTTGGTTTTACTTTCACTCTAAGATTTGGTGATAGTTTTAATGCATTTATGGTGCCCCTATTAATAAAAACATTTTATTAAAGTCTTTTACAAATATGTAATAAGTTTATGTTCCTGTATATTCAAATATTAATTACTTGTCATCACCAACTATGATAAAGGGTAGTTTAGTATTAAAAGCAAGCCTTGTTAATTTGTATTTTTTTTTACTAACAATTGCTTGGCTACAAATTGGTCTGTATTTGTTTACGTTCAAATCAAAAACAGTAACTTTTCCATCATTTGATACACAAGCCAAGACAGTTGAACTGTAAGGTGCCCATTGAACATCTCCAATTGGAACACCAAGGTCAAACATAAAAAGTGGATCTCTGTGTAATGAAATATTCATAAGTTTGTATCCACAATTTTGCTTAGTTTATATTTAAAACTTACGGTCTTTCATCTTCCCATATTTTAATTCTCCAATCTCCTGAACAACTTGCAAATATTTTCGAATTATATTTATTGAAGACTATACGATACACTGGCATATTATGAGCTTCATTATATATTTGCATATAAATGCTACTGTATGCTGTATTACATTTATACATAGTACCTTCCTCAGTTCCAACTAAGAATACATGTTCATCAGATGGATAAAAAGCTAGACAAGTTCCACAGCCTTCACATAATTGTTAATGATTAATAAATATTTCTAGATAAAATATAAAACTTCATATTATCAATATAATATACCTTTGAGTGTTATCATTGTACCATCAGGACCTGGTATTGGTGGTTGATCAAGATACAAAGTCATAACAGTTGTTAATCCGAGTTCTTTTTGATTGAGAACCCAAAAATTGATTTTACCATCGATACTAACACTATAAAATGCTAAATTTCCTTCTTGAGTATCTGGTGCCCAACGAACCTTTAATAAATATTATAATCAATGAATATAATTAATATTTTTTATGAATGTGTGTGTGTTTGTAATATACCTCCCATACAATTCCTCCATGTTTTTGGGTAACGTCATTACTTTTGTACTGTGGGCCTGTTGGTGGTAACATAATATTATATACAGCTACTGAACCGTCTTTCATACCTTTATTAAAAAGATTAATAAATAATAAATTAAATCATGTATTAATAGTTTACAAAATATTAATACGTTTCATAAAATTTACCAATGACTAACAAATGAGGATGTTGAATGCTAAAATCTAAACACATTACTGGAGATTCTATTGGACAAATCCATTCTGGATACGATGGATTTTTCAAACTAAATAAACATACTGAACCATTCTTTATAGGACTACTAAATGTCACTGTAATACAGTAAAAATTGATAATATTATTATAAATATATTAAATATAATTATACATTAATTACTAACATGTTCCATATGCTACTGCAAATAGATCATAATATCTTGCGTTAAAGCATACATCTGTGATATCATGTTTTTTTGTTGGTTCATAATGGAATTTCCATAATGGTAATAAAGATCCTTCACCATCTTTAAATTCATCACTTGGATCATCCCAATATCTATAGTCTACAAACATTATTAATGAATAGAACATTAAATTGAGTAAATTGAAAATTATATAATTAAACTTACCCTGAGCAATTTCATCAAATATATTTTGATTCACCATTCTTTCTAATGTTTTAGCTGCTTTAATCATTCTATCATACATTTCTATGTTCTCCATTTGTTCTTTTTTTTTTATATCCTCTCTTCGTACCTGTGTAACTGGCAATCTTCTTTCTCTTTCTTTTTCACGTTGTTGTTGCATGTAATCTTCCTGTATAATTAAATATTTAATTATAAATACTGCCCCCCCCCCACACACAAGAATACTTTGAGAATCCTTATTATTATTATTATTATTATTATTATTATTATTATTATTATTATTTATACACCTGGTATTCGTCAAAAATAGTCCATTGGAAGACGTGCGTATTAAACAATGCTGTAGGTGGAGGTAAAGTTTGTGTACTCATATCCTATAAAAGAAATGAATGGCTTACTCATCCATAAAATATTGCAACATTTAATAAACTTACTCTCATAGGATTTTCATACGTTAATGCAGCTCTCTCGCAAAAATTAAATTGATTAGGTATTTTTTTATGTCTCTCTCTTTGGTACTCATTTTCACCTAATTCCGCTTCGTATTCATATTCTCCTTCATATTCTAAAATGTATTATAATATTTTGATTTAAAATATTATTGAACAATCAGAAGATGCTTAATATTAAAAAAAAAAAACATTTACTTTGAAATTTAGGATGAATTATTCTGAAACACACCTTCATCTGCATATTTATCCAGTACATCCTCCTGCCTGGTATCAAAGGTCAACCCATCATCATGGTTTTCTGCTATACAAAAATATAATATAAAATAAATGCATTTTTCTAATAGTATATCCGATAATCATTTGTTATATTATGTATTGGCTTACCAACAATACCACCAGCTATTTGCACCTTAGCTTCCTCAGAATCTTTACGTAGTATAGTACCAGGTACACTCATGAGAGTTACTACATTAGGAGGATCAGGTAGTCTAATAAATTCTCTTAATTTCCAAGACCATTCAACTAGTGAGTCAGGAATACGTGTGTTGTGTACTGTAAGTACTCGTGCAATTTCTTCTTGAAGTTCCTAAAATTAACATTACTATGAAATATTTGCAACCTTTAGATAGTATTAGGTCGAGTCATAAATAACTTCCGTTTTTTTATGAGACAAAGAATGGCGTTTCTGCGACTGATAAGTGCAAGACACCTTTCGTGGAGTTTTTTTTTGCACTCTTTGCAATTGTTGAACGTATCTATTGGATTTTACTCCAATATTACCTTTAAAAGGTTCATCAAAGTCAGAAATACGTCCTGCACTTGGTTCATCTTTTAAGATCGTATCTCCAGAACGGAATTTTACAAACCAATTTCTGATTGCCCTATCAGTTATCAGTTCTGCACTGTATACGCTGTATATTTTTTCAGTTGCCACTTTAGTGCTATTGCCTTGTTTCAATTCTTAAAGCATTACATGTCGAACATGCACTTTTTACTATTCATTTCAGTTGTTAAGAAAAACAGTTAAATGTAACATATTGACTGCATAAAAAAATTAACAGAAGACTAACTGAATCCTCATCTATACAGTGATATCGAAAATCCGTTTGTTTCGGTGACTTATAGTAGGTAAATACGAAAAATAGATTCTACATAGCCGCATTGGAAATTACTTATGACTCGACCTAATATTTAATAATACAAAAGAATTCAATGTACTGTTTCTGTTAATTGTAATTGATCATCAGGTTTAAGAGCAACTTTTCCTCGCATCCAATCCGTATCTCCACCAGCTAAGCTCATACCTGACATACGACTCTTCAAACTCGAATACTAAAATGTTCATGAACATTATTAATTATTAATTGTTAATTTATATATAAAAATACTTTATCAGAATTTACAGTAACTTACATCTTTCATCAATTCTGAGACTTTAGAGGGTTGTCTTTTGGGTAACGTAGAAGCCATTATGTGTTATTTGTTATATGTTATTAAATAAAGTTATGAAAACTTAAATATTTGATTAGGTTTATCCTCAGCTGTGCAGATTTTGTTGTTCATGCATGGAAAAAAATTTTATTTATGGTTGTCAAGGATACATTGGTATTATTATGGTTACTACTGCCATTTATTTCTTGCCACTTCTAATAGAATTTTCTAAGCTTTTTCTAAACAAGATTTACATTAGTTTGACATAAATAATTATTAAAATGAACAAATAATATTATATATTTATATATATTCCAAATAAAATGTCATAAAAATATGCTTGATAATAATTGATATAAATAAAATCGGTTAGATTTGATTATTAATTTTAATTTCATTGAATAACATTAATTGTATTAAAATGTATTCGTATATTTAATATACTTAATACAATAAATATACTTTTATGGAATTTATAGAAAATGTTTTTTAAAAAAAATATAAACATGATAAGATTTATATCTGTATTTTTGGTTATTGGTTGAAAGAAAATCAATACTGGACTATCCCAAGATAATATAAGCATTTCAACAAGTTGTTACTAGATTCTTGTGTGGAATGTAAATGAATTGTTATAGTGTATAATAAATATTATAAATATATGATATTCATGTACGTATAATAATAATAATAATTAGTGTCACATTATTTATTTGTTTATTCATGTATCTTTGTTTTAAGTGTTTCATATTAAAATGTTTGTCATATGAAATAATTAAAAAACTATCTTAATGGAATATTAAAACAAATTGTATAGTTATTTAAAAAAACAAAAAGAAATAAAATATTATATTTTGTGGATTTTGCAGATAAGTTAAAAAGAAAAAAATATATTATCTTGTTGTCATGGAGGATAGTGGAATTGATAGTGACCCTAAAATAATTACTCACAATGAAGATGAAAAACTATTTCTGGTAAGCACATAATTTTAATCTAAATATTATTTGTTAAAATTAATATCAGTTTATATAAATATATTTAATTAATGCAAAGTTAAATGTGTGTGAATGTATTTTTTTGTAGGGAAGTGATAGTAGTTGTAACAGTAATCTGACGCAAACATCTCAAAGAAATTCAACTAAACAATGGCAAAAGAAACTTGGTACGCGATTTATCATTAATTAATTCAAACTTATATTCACAAATCAATTGTAAGTGCATCTTTTGTTTAGTTTTATCTAATTATTATATTCAATCACATAATTAATATTAATTTTAAAATCAAGATTTCATAATATAAAGATATATAAATTTGTTTTTTTTTTTTTTTATAGAAGCACGAATTGAACAAGCAAAACGAATACAACATAATTCAGATTATATGAAATTACCAAAACATGAAACGTCCAAAATAAATGTATGTAGTAATAATAGTAGCGGATTAATATCGATAGAAAGGTTGCCTATTCCATCTAAAAATAAAGAAAATCTTCCATTAGTTGAATATTGGCATAGTGGAAGTGAAAGGTAATTTTAATTAATTATAAATAATAATAATAATAATATCCTTCCATTCGCGGTCTTCGTATCCTATTTCTTTCAGGTCCCTTCTAATATTATCTTATAAATAATATTATATCATAATAAATTATAATTTTCTTCTTCTTCTTCATGGTAGAAGAGTAGTAGAAGAAGAAGAAGAAGAAATTATAATAAGGGAGGAATATGTAGGATTTGTTCTACAAATTTGAATGAAAATAAAATTAGTTGTTACTACTACTGTTGTAAAAAAAAAATTGTAATATATTTTTTGTTAGCGATGATGAAACTACACTTTTCTCATTATCAAAAGGAAAAGAATCTCTGAAACATAAACGAGAGCTTACTGATACATTTAGTATCGAGGATTTAAGTGAAGAAAGTGAAGATTCTTTGAATTTAGATCCAACTCAACCATCTCATGCATTTACGTGGACTTACGTACCTTCTGGATGTTTTGCTTGCCATTGTCAAATATTATAATGTAAAACAACGAGTCGTATTTAATGAAAACAATACAAAATTATTTATGAAAATTAAATGAAATAGTTTACGACATAATATCAGCTGAATATATAAACTAGTATTATGCATTATATATTTTCAAATACTTTTTAAGAAAAGTAAATAAAATATTTTTGTGCTTCTAGTAAAAAAAAATGCTAATATTAATAAAGAATATATATGTTATCTTTCTTTATTTATGGTTGTGTGTTGCGTATTTCAATAATTATTTACGCTTTAATTAAAATAAAACGAATTAAATATAAGAAAAGTTCCAAGATGCAACGCACTTTAATACAAAAAAAAAATTAATCCTACGTTGTTTGCATTGTGACGAAAACATTATTATTATTGAAAATTTATTAAATTATAAAAATCAAAAATATTTATTTAACATTTATGATACATGATATTTACATAAATATTAATTACATAGGATCTAATGTTCAGGATACCCCCTCAGTCTTATCTTTTTATACTGTAGTATATACTATTTTTTATTTTCTTTCTTTTTTTTTTTTTTAAGTATTTTTCATGTATTACTTGTCAATCATTTTTTTCCTATTAGTTTTGTAAAGATAGCAGTAAACAATTATCATTACATTAATGTAGATACAATACAATTATACCTAGCATTTTTCTTTTTTTAGAATGAATATGTTAAAACTATTTACATTAAACAAGTATCATTATACTAAAATTTCTCATTTATATTATTATTAATATTATTATTACTACTACTACTACTAGTATTAGTACTACCTACTACTACTACTACTATTACAATAACACTATTAACTACATTATTATTAAAATCATTATTAATATTAATCTTATTATTCTATACAAGATGAATAACAAATTACGTATAACAAAATTTTTCAAAACATAATTCACTACTTTGTTAGATATTATTTGTCATCACATAGATGTGATCTAAATATATTAATTATATTACTGAAAGTTCATGATTTTGTATCAAAATATTTATAATGCAAAAGCTTATCTGATAATTTTTGATACAAATTTGTAATATTCATTATATGAGGATGATGCCTTTTATTTTTATTTCTGTAATAATGTAGTTTAACGACATTTGTATATTATAATAAAAAAAAACGTACTGTTTAATACAAATAATATTAATAATCTTATCGCGAATGAAACAAATAGAATAATTTAATTAATAAATAATAATCTTTTAATAGAATATAACAGTTAATTTAAAAATCATTAATAAAATAATAAGCTTACCTGTGTGCACTCTTTACTTTTAACAAAATATATTTACTGAATATTTACTAAAGTTACTAATAAGACAATAAAATATATGTAATCAAAATAAATGAAAATGCACATAAATATTATGAAAAATATGTGAATACTGTTATAATAACCAAAAAAGAAGAGCTATTTATTTAATTAAATATATTATATCTCAAATAATTACTCGAGATTCTTGTGCTGGTGGTACTGTATTGTCTAGAGAAAATGATTTTTTGATAGTTGATGCAATGATATTTGATTGATAAATTTCACTGTTTTTCTTTTGAAAATAATGAAACATATTTAGGATCATACCTAATATCGTTAAGCTTAATGCACGCATTAATATTTATCAACTGAGCAAGAGTGGTGCAATTTACTTTCATACTAAGACCTCCAACTACCATGTATGTACTTAATTCTCCTAAGTTAACAGGTTTTGATGGTATACCATAAAACGAATATTGGTTGGTCGAAGTTTTGTCAAAATCACTATCATTTGTACAATTACTAGGTAAAAAATTAAAGTCGGTAGAATATTTTGGTAGTGGATTTATAGATTTTCGAGCAACGGCTTTTACTTTGTACGGATGATGGCGTTCACGTATAGTTGACTTAGCTGTAGATTTTCTTGCAACCGCTCGACTTTTCAACATTTGTTTCGATGACTTTCTCTCTTGTCTCGCTGTTTCTAATAATTCCGATTCACTAATGCTATTCCACGAAACTTTGTCCATTATGTTCTCCAACATTTCTTTATAATTTGTTGCAATTTCTATCTTAACTGGAAATTCTGGATGTTCTTTAAAATTATGCGTATCAACTTGATTTGGATTATTAAATGTTTCAGTGCAATATTTACATTTATAATAATTAACGTGTTTGGTTACATGTTTTCTCATACCATTGATAAAAATTGTTTTAAAAGAACATATTGGACAAATGTATACTTTATGTAATCCTTTTCCACTGTCAGTTATGAAATGAAATGGTAAATGAGAATGAAACATATTTTGATGATTTTTCATATCGTAATCAGAGTGACATACTTCGTGGCACCATTGACAAATCCATGTTCTATTTTCGCTACTATCAGCAGTACTTTGTACAGTCATTTTAATATCACTATCTCGAGTTTGTGTGTTTGAAGAAAGTGGCACGTGTACTTCGTTATATTTAAATGGAAGATTCAGTTTTAATCCATTTAATTCATTAACTACTGTCGAAGTTTGATGATTTGAATTCCAATGTTTTCGTAATACATCTAAAGAATTACTTTGTATTTTGCAATAAAAGCAAGAGTATCTTATTTCCTTTGAATCATCATTATTTTCATTGTTTTTATTTGTAACTTCTTTATCTTTTGTAGATTTTTCTACATTATTTACATCTTTGCTAGTTGATGCAGTATTTTTCTCAGGGTCTTCTTCTATAAAATAAAATGGTACATAAGGATGAAAGATCTTCCAATGTATTCGAAAATCTGCTTGCAAATCACTAGTAAAATCACAATATCGGCACTTATAATCAGCAGATTTTGACTCGTGTATTTTCGAATGAGATTCCATTTCATTTATAGTTATAGGAATAAAACCACACTCTTTACAATCTTTTAATATTTCACTTAATTCTTGATCACTTTTATTGTTACTATTAGCATAAGTCTCTCTTAATTGTTTTCTTTCTTTACGTTCTTGCAAAGTCATAACACCAAATTCCTTCAACCAAAAATCTTCGATTAATTCCGGATCATAGGCCATAGGATTACGAACGATTTTCTCAGAAAAACCTGGATGTTTTGTACGAATATGTTGAAGCATCGAGTTTTGATAGTTGGTACTTCGATCACAATGAGGACAAAGATATTCAAGACATTTTAAATGTACTGCTTGCACATGTAATTTAAATCCACGCATTCTATTGTATCCCTTTTTGCAATGTTTACAAATTAAATAATAATCTGAATTATTCTCTAGTAAATCTGTATAAAATATTTTAATTTAATTAGTAATATATTTATAATGTATTTATTTGTATTATTAAAAAAAAAAAATCTTATTGGCAAAAAAAAAATGTTCAAATTTACCTTCTCTTTTCTTTGCTTGTACATTCTTTTCTTGATCCAATTCATTATCTTCTATAGTATCATCAATGACAAGATTCTTGCTACTATCGCTGTCATTATAATCATCGTCATAGTCGTAATCATCTTCATCGTCATAATCAATATTATCCTTATCATTACCTTTACCTTTATCATTATCATTATCATTATCATTAGCATTATCATTAGCATCAGCATTAACATTAGCACTATTTTTATCTTTGTCTTTATTTTCATCTTCATCTTTATCCTTATCTTTATGTTTATCTTTATCTTTATTCATATCTTTATCCATATCCTTAGCCGTATTTTCATCCTTATCCTTTTCTTTATCCTTTTCCTTATCTTTTTCCTTATCCTTTACCTTATCCTTTACCTTTTCCTTTACCTTTTCCTTTTCCATTACTTTTTCCATTACTTTTTCTTTTTCCTTTTCCTTTTCCTTATTCTTATTCTTATTTTTATCTTTACCATTACTGTAATCATTACTATTTATATTAATAGTTTTAATTTTTCTAGTTACGTTACAACTCATCTTCTTTTTTTTCGAAGATAAATTTTTTAACTTTTCAACATCTTCCTTAATGATCTTGCGATTACTTTTAGTAACAGAAGGCGACGTATTTTTATTTTTTACAGGTGTAATGGTTTTTGTATTATTCTTATTATGACCTTGTTTTAGTAATAATCCTTTCATTATTTCAGTTTGTTTTCTAAGCAAAGTATAGACCTATAAAATACAAAATGAATAATATAATAATTTGAAATTTTCGTACAATGTATAATATACGATTTTTTAAACAAACCCATTTTTCAATAGAATTATCAGGAGAAAGAGGTTCATGAGCTGGTCGTCTTCCATGGTGACGTCTTTGAAAATGTTTCAACAATGCGTTACGATTTACAGACAAGAATCCACAACCCTTGCAATGCCATCTAAATAAGCGTTAATAAATATTATAAAAATCCTTGTTGTTTTATACAGTTAATCAATTGGATAAATTAATGGTTCATATTTACCTTGAGTAATTTAATTCTCTGTAAAGATGATCCCGCATATCGTGCTTGTATTTTGTCTTGTATTGATCACACAATGTACACACATACAAATTATTCACAGGACTTCCATAAGGTCCAAATAATTCATTGTCTGATTCATCATCAATTTCTATAGTCGTTTTTGATTTCGTTGGTGTTTTTTCAAGTGAAATATTACTAGTATGTTTGACTATTTCTTTCGATTTATTACTTTCACTTCCAACAGAATTATTCACTTCAATTTTCTCACAGGACAGCGAACGTTTTGATTTTTCTTTGTTGTTGTGTTTATTTTCGTCCAGAGAAACTGATTTGACGTGTTTAATTTTAGCTGGTTTAGCACAAACTGAATCCACCGAATCACTTTTTCTTTTTCCTTGTTTGACAGATGTTGTTTCAGTTTTTAAAACGACTTCCTCATCTTCTAAAAGGATACCACGAATATGTCTAACTCGTGGCATATCTCTTCTCCAAAGAGGAGTAGTATCGAAAGGTTCATCTTGTCCTCCTTGTTCAGCCGAATCACCTGATTTTTTACTTATCCCTTTAATCTTCTGATAATTCGTGATATAATCAAAATTTGGTTCATTTTTATGTTTTAAGCTAATATGTTGTTCGAGAACTACTTTTATATTTGTCTTCAAATCGCAGGGAGTACACTTGAATTGACTCTTCTCATCGTGGGTTACATTCGAATGATTTACCATTTCAGCTTTGTAAACACATTTAAATTCACATAAGTTACATTTCCAATGGTTACCATCAGAATCTGGAATGTCTTCTTCTGTTTCTTCTTGAGCTGATTGTTGAATGTTATTTTCTGTACTTTCTAATTCCCTAATTACTTTGACAAATGGCCTTTTCTCCGGATGTTTATCAGAAAGATGTCTCTCTATGATATGCCTATAGAACATTTCACCACTATCAGAGAGCATATCCAATGCATCGTATACTTAATAACATATATGAAACATCTGGCAAGTGTTAGATAAAAGTACTTAATATTGAAAGAATTTGACAATTATTTTTCATTGATTCTGTCTTACACTTGTCATATGTTTGAATTGTCAATTCTATTAAATAAAGATTATATATCTAAGCAGATCAAATAAAATAATAATATTACAAACCTATGATAGTGATGATGATTACAATGAGAACATTTATACAGTCTAGTATCATGCATTTTCAAATGAACTCCCATTTTATCAATTGCTATGTTTTGTACTTCTTGGCCTGGAGATGGTTGTGGACAATGTGGGCATCGGAAGTACTGTTCATCAGAATGCAATGCTTTTAAATGATAACGTAGCATAGCTTCGTCGACAGTAAGATAATTACATTCTGTTACGCTGCATACGTATCTACAAATAAAATAAAAAATAATTAACGGTATATTACCTATATTTCTTAGTTTTAAGTATTAGTAATTTTAGTATGTACCAGGCTATGTAAAGGTAACTATGTTTACCCCTTGTAGGATTTACTATGTATTAACCTTGATATTACTGTGTAAATTATTCTTTTCTGGTATAATAAATAAATAAATAAATAAATAAATAAATAAATAAATAAATAAATAATACATTAAAAATACTAAAATCAAATTGGTTTGTAATAATTGCGTATACTTTATAATACCTTTTATGCTCTGGTACATATTTAGGTATAAAACTTTCATCGTTATCTTTTTCAGAGTCTTTAGGTTTTCCTCCCATTCGTCCGTTTTGATGAGAACTACTAGCAAGATTGACCATTTTGTCGAACATTCTCTCTTTTTTATCTAAGCAAGGTACTGGATTAACTGGACCAATTTCTGGTACAGTTTCGTCTTTAGCATGAAGTTGCAAATGTCTAATAATATTAGTTCTAACTTTAGTAGTATAAGGACAAACGGCACATTGTACTTCACGATTATATATCGCTTGACGAGGCAACGATTCTATTTCGTCAGGACCAAAACTTAATTTTTCACTGTCAGTAGTTTTGTCAACATCTTTTTCCGGTGTTCTTATCATTTTTCGTTTTTTACCTTTTCGTTCTATATTAATAGGCCACTATGTAAAACAATATTAAAATGTTTTATGAAATGTTAACTAATAAAATAATATTTATTATGTTGCCATTGTTCACTTACGGTATTTTGTACAATAAAGAGGCCATCGGCTGAAGGATTTTTTGGATCAGCAGGAACGACTTTACAGCATTGAATTTTATGCTTTGTTTTCATATGAGCATTTGCTTGATAAGAAACAGTAAATCGTGAATCACATAGTGCACAACCAAAACGTTTTAATCCATGTTGTTTTAAATGCTCAAGTAAAAAGCCAATTTTAACAAAACGTTTCTTGCAGTGTACACACCTTAAATTCTTCTCAGCTGATTTATAAGCGCACTTTTTCATATGTCCTCGAAGAACAATTGAATTAATAGCACTGAATTCACAATTTTCATAACCACATTTATACAATTGATTTCCTATAAGACCTGTATTTTTAATATCTTCCAAAGACAACAGTTTCTCTGATTTATTACTTGAAACATTAGGGTTATTCGAGGTTTCTATGTCCTGAGTTATATTTATTTCTTGCTTTTCACTATTATTTTCAGTCGTATCTATATTTGACGTTTCTTGGATATCCTTATCACTTTGTTCTAACTTTTCTTCGAAGATTTTAGTATCGCTTTGTGTAACTTCAATATGATCTAATATCTCTATATCACTGTCTTCTGTTTTGTTTTCATTATTTAATGATTTCTTACTAGGGGAAGAAATATTGCTCTGATTAGCCAAATTTTTCACGAAATTAGGATTATCTAAAACATTGATATTGATATATTCATCCGAACAATCTAATGAATTTGTCAATTGTAATGGATCTACTGCACTGACATCTCCATCTACGCCAGATAATAATTGTAATTCTGGTTCATGAAGAATATGTTTTGAAATATGATACTTTCCGTCCGGATCAATATTTGTGCTTGATGTTTTATTTCCTAATTTAGAATCCTTTTTATTCTCTGAAGATTTCTTTTTCTTAGATGACGAAGATTTGCCTTCTTTATTATCGGCATTTAAAGATGAATTAGTCATCGTATCCGTCGAATCATCTTTCGTACTTTCATCCAATATAGAAATGTCTTCTAACAATTCAGGAGATGATGATTCATTTTCATGTGTTTCTACCACCATGCTTGTAGTTTTCATATCCAGTGTTCTTATTGACAGTCGACTTATTATGTCTAAAGATTTGTGTATCTGAATATTTGAATGGACATTAGTTAAATCAAATGTTAAAATGATTTCTTTGATAAAAAAAATTGTTCTCAGAAAATTTAGCCCATACCTGTGGTGATATAGTACGTTCAAGAATCTGTGGCAATCGATTACAATGAAATAGACTTAAATGGGTAAGCATATCGCTGAATTTGTCTGTACCATTTAAACAGTACAAACATTGGTGTTTATTAATCCCATGAACTTTGTAATGCTATTAATGATAAAGAATAATTACATAAACATAGAATCATGTATTCAATAAGTAATTATATTTGATATTTTTAAATACATACTGTTACTAGATGGTGTGCTTTTTTGAATGATAAGGGACATAAGTGACACTTATAAGTAGATACACTACCATGCTTTGTTTTTAAATGATTCCAAAATGCGTCTGGTATGTAAAAAATCTTGCCACATTCTGAAAATAAAATTCATACTTAAAAAATTTCAATTAAAGTACGAAATGTCGAATATAACAAAAAAAAAAAAAAGAAAGAATGAAAGAAAGAGAGAAAAAAAAGACATGTGTCAAAGTTTTATCCGTTACAAAAAAAAAAAAAAGAGAAAAGCATACAAACCATGTTGACATATGTACGGTTCTACGTAATCACGGCGATTATAATCTTCTTTAGTTGGAACCTCTTTTTTTAATTTACCAAGCAAAATGCCAGTATTTGTGACTGTTGAGTGAGATATCGCCTAGAACAATTTGAATATTGAAACAAGAATAATAATGAAATTATATACATATAATACAAATTGACGAATATAATTTTGTTTTTCAAAATACCTGATGTATTTGTACATAAGATGGTGTAATTGCTCTATAAAAACAGCAATTACATTGATAACGACAATGCGAATGTCTCTCATTTATATGGTTTAACATTTGCGTGCAATCACTTAGAACCATATAACAATAGGCACATTTTTGATAATCATATGGAGAAGGATCATTTTTCTTAATTGGAGCTAACACATGTAGATTGTAATGTTGGCAAAATGAAATTTCAGAATCTGATGTAAAAGAACAATTACGACTCATACATTTGTACAAATGGCCGAGTTTTGTAGGTTTTAACATCTTGGAATAACTGTCGGAAGATTTCAATTTATCTACTGACGACTTAGATATTAAATCCTTTGCTCTAAGAGAAGGCGTCGTTTTAATCACTTTTAAAATTTTATAATTTGGATTTGATAAGGTTGGAGAGTTTGATCCCGTAATATTATGAGTAGTTACTGGTGATATAGTAGTTACTGGTGATATGGTAGTTACTGGTGATATAGTAGTTACTGGTGATATAGTAGTTACTGGTGATATAGTAGGTACTGGTGATATAGTAGTATTTGCAGCAACAGATACTTGAAATGGTAATGTGTTATGGTCTATTTGAATTATCTGTGACTTTGGAACGATTGGTATGAAATTGGTTGCAGTTGTTGATGGTTTAGGCATCAGTGGTTTGACTGGTATTAATTTTAAAGGTTCACTTGCTTTTCCGATTGGTTGTCTTAGAGTCACAGGATTAATTCTTTTTAAAATAAATGGTTGATTAGAAGCTTTTAAAAGTGAAACTGATTTATGTGTAACTGGTAAAGTTTCTACAGCTTTTCTGATATCATTTATCTACAAATAAATATATTATTATTAATAAATTTTTAACATTATTATACAAATAATTTGATCTTATAGAAAATACTTACAATAGTATTTTCACTTTCGACATTTTCAGTAGATGGTGCAAGACTAACTACATTCTCAATTTTTAGAAATGAACATTCTTCTTCTGTATCCGTTTGTAATACATCACCTAAAGCATCAGGTTGACTTCCAGCTAATCAAAAATATACCAATATTAAAGAGTATAATTAAATAGTATAATTTACATATATAAATATACTTGACTCTTTAACTAATTACCATTTAATGATAGCCTATCTTCTTCAATCTTTTCTGGAGATGGATTAGGCACAGAAAGCATATCACCGCTTAAACGTCTGAATCTGAGAAAACTTCTTGGTTCATTGTCATTATTTGAAATTGATTTTGTATAATTGTGTACTGTTGTATTTTGTTCATCAAAGAATTGACTAAGGCTAGAAATAGGTATTACATTTGGAGGTTTTGGTATATCTTTATTGTTGCTATTATCAATTGGAGTACTAGAATTTTCAGATGCATCTCCATCACGTGATTTTGTACTTTGCAATTGAGCGGCAAGTCTTTGTATGGTTGTCATCATCGGATCTTTTGACGATGCTGTAATATTGGAAGTTTCTTTTAATATTGTGTTTACATCTGTAGTTATTTCTGTGTCTGTTTGTTCGCTACTAGAATCTGAATCATAAATGGTTGCAGACTCTCTAGTAGTATCATTATCACTTGTCTCAATTTCACTTTCAATCGTCTTATTATCAACATTTGTTAATAGTTGGGGAGGATGATTTTGGGAATCTGTTGTTTTTTCAGAACTGAGACTTGAATTATTTTCAATCATATCGTTAATATTATCTTGCTCATTTATTTTGTTTAATTCTTTAGATTTTAACGTGTCTTCCTCATTTATTGTTGTAGTAGCATTTGATACAGATGGCTCCATTGTATTTGTATTATTTTCAGATGAGGTTGTTGAACTTGTAGAAAGAACAGATTTATTTAAAAGACATAATTCCAAAATACTTGTTGTTGACTTCAAATCTTTATTCTGATTATCTTCTTTTTGCACATTCGTTTTCATTTTATCTTTTAAAGTGTCGATAATAGATTTCTTCTTTTCGGAAACATCTTTATGTACTTTAATGCCAAAATTTTCAAAAATTTCTTGCATTTTCTTTTTACGTTCCAATTGAATTTCTACTTCTTTGCGTTCTAACTCAGGTGAACACACGAATACACTTAATTTATCATTAATAGTGCTTGGTACCGTCGGTTCTTCTGATTCCTTTTTAAGCAGTGTCGATTGTGTTTCAGCCTTAGATGCATTATTCGATTTATTGTTATTAATCGTAGATTTTTTGTTTATTTTATTCTCTTTATTTTTCTCTTTAGAAATAGCTTCTATCTGAATAATTTTATTTACATCGTCACTATTAGAAACAATCTGTTCTTCACTCGTTTGCTCATCATTATTCATTTCTTGTTCTACAGATTCAAAAGAAGTGTCAGTTGTTTCAACCTTTAATTTCAAATCTTGATCAATTAATGAAATGAGATCTGTATGAGTCGCGTCAATAGACATATTTATCTTGATAATATTTACATCCTCAACATTAGGATGCCAAATTTTCAAATGTTTCTGTACATTCTTTTCTTTTATTTGTACATAATAGCAAGCTGAACACAAATATCCATATACAATGTCCTTTTCTGGTATTGAATCTATATTTACGGTATTATTAAAAGTACTTTTATATTTGCAACAAGATTTATAATAATGAGTACGCATAGATGGTTTATAAATAGTTTGATAAGAACACTTCTTACATTGAAATCTATATTCGCCAGTATGTGATGTACAATGTTCATAAAATTCTTCAATTACAGTATCTTTAGTTCCTTTGAAAGAGACATAACAAAATCTACAATTAAATGAATAAAATTTCTTATTTTTCTTTACAACTTTTGTACACATCTCTTTTTCATAATAATCATTATTTTTAGCTTCTTCTATTGCATAAAGAGCTTTTTTCAACTCAAATCTAGAGATTAAAACTTCTTTTTCAGGATGAATCAATTTATAATGATGAATAATCTTTGTACCCTTAAACGGACAATATAAACAATCATATCTTTGATGACCCGACCAAGCATATTCAATTAATTCTTCTATATTTAAATTAAGCCGTTCTTCTTCATTTTCATTTGATGCTGACATTTCTTTAAGTTTTTCTTTAATATCTTTTTTCTTATTGTTTTCTTCATCTTTTATAACATTATCATCTTCGGCCTCATCATTCATTTCATAATCAACAGAGGATAAAATAGATTCTTTTGTATCTTCTTCCTTGTCTGGTATGCTTTCTTCTACTGGATTTTCTGACTTTTCTATTACATCAGATTTATCTTTTCTAATATCTATTTTCTCAAGTGTACCTTGAATTTCTTTGATAATATGATCAGATTCTACCTGTACCGTAGGTGACACCTTTTTTCTTTTCTTTTTTGATAAAATTCCCATTTGCCAATTTAATTTCTTTCTTTTTCTTTTAACTGAAATTTTCTTTTGACTTTGTTCAATACGTATGGAATCACTTACATCATCACCAACATCAACGTCGCTTACTTTTTCTAATTGAGATACCTTTTTGTTTATTTTAGAAGATACTAGCTCTTCTGCAGTATCATCTAATAATAATTCTTCACTATTATTGGATTTATCAAGATTATTATTAACTTTCTTTCCAGAAGCTATACTACTACTTGACATAGAAATATCTGAAACAATACTTTCTTCGTCCGTAATCGATGTAACATCATCAATCTTATCAACACTAAGAAGTGTTGAACGTTTCTTTTTTAAACACTTCTTAGAGAGATTCGAAATGTTTGATCTACTACTCTTAAGAGATGATAATTGCAATGAGCTATGACTTCGTTCTTTTTCTGTAATAAGTGAATTATCTATAACAGTAGTTAATTCTACTACATCTAAATTAAAACTTTCGTCTGAAGAACTATCAAACATTGTCTTGGTAGATTCAATTTTGGCAATATTCGTTTTTTCTATAAGAACTCGAGCCTCTTTAGGAGTTTCTTTATGAAGTACACGTTTACTTCTACGTAGAACTTCGACATCTGGATATTTTTCATCTTCTTCTTCTTCTTTGGTGACATCGGAATTCTTGTTACCACTACTCCATTCTCGATTATTACTTCGTAAAGATAATGGTTGATCTTCCTCACTATCAGAACTAAAAATTTGTTCCTTTAAACGTTGACGTGTAAGCCTTTGCATATCCTTTTTATTCTTGCTTTTAGTTTTACTTAACTTTTGGTTATTACGAATTCTAGGAACTTTTGTTGATTTAGGGCTACTTAATACTTGTTCCTTACTTTCTATCTCCAAATTGTTTTGCTTAGTCAATGGTTTGCTTACTTCTGGTTTTTTATATGTCGAATTCGAGTTACTCGAAGATATAATTGTAGTAGGACTACTCGTTTGATTTTCTTTTACAACTCGACACATACGATGCCCTGTAGCTGTTACCACACCTTCGCTAATAAACATTTCTCGAATATCTTCTTGTAACATTTCTAAAGAATTTCTTCTTTTTGTTTTTGGCTTGGTGGACATTTTAAAACCACTTTCTTTATCGTCAATTGTTTCATTGCTTAAAGAAGTATTCTCGATTGATGTAAATCGTTCATTTTCATTTAATTCTTCTATACAATTTAACTTTTCTTCTAAGTTATCCTTCTTGTCTTCAATTTTCTTTATATCATTGCTATTTTCGACAATTTCATTCGTATCGTTATTAATTTCTGACATTTCCTTTATTTCAGACTTTACCAAGACAGTAGAGGAACTTTTCAATTGATCAATATTACATTTCTCATCTGTTTTTACAAGTTCCTTAGATTCAGAAGACATCTCAAGAGATTCTTTCTGATTCTTTTCATTCTTCTCATCAGTATTACTATTACTCTCTGATTTAATTTTATTATCATCATCATTTTTATTAAGTTTATTATCCTCGTCTTTTTCATCAGATAAATTATTCAATATATTCAATCTTTCAGCTAAACAATCTTCTTCAGAACTATCAGAAGAAACAATGACACGTCGTTTTTTCTTAACTTGTACCTTTTTCTTCTCAGCATCTGCATTTTTATCCGAACTACTACTTTCAGATTCAGATTCAATAATCTTCTTAATCCTCTTAATTTTTTTTAATTTCTTAGCATCCAATGCTTCACCTAATTTTTTTATCAATTTAGCTTGTTCAAAAAATTTCTTTCCTTCTCCACATTCTAAAGATTTTCTAATTAAACCCTCGATCCATTCTTGAGTAAGGATACCATCTTTTATTTTATCTCCGTCTATTTCTGTATCATCTTTCTTTGGATTTTCTGTCATTTCAGAAATAGCTGCAGATGCATTGGTTATTGAATCAGGTTCCTCAAATTTGGGTTCATCTTTATCGACTGTTGAAGTTGTCGGTGAAGGAACAACATCTTTCTTAACATTCGTTGTTTCTATCTCTGATGCAACATCTTCATTTTTCGAAGGTATTACTTCAGTAACACTATCATCCCCGTTCCAATTTTCTTTCGAACTAGCCACATCGCTACTGCTCGTAACTTCAGAAGATGTGTCTTCTTTATCCGAGCTCTTTTTATTCTTGTTAAATTTTTTCTCTTGATTTGTTTTATTACTCGACGATTTCGTAGAAGGTTCTGATCGTTTGATCTTTGGTATTTTGAACTTTTGCAATCCATAAGAACGACCATCTTTACCTTTTGTATCAATAACACCGTATAAACTTTCTAACGGTGATTGCATTGTATCTATGGATGTTTTTTCGTTGTTTACTTGTTTGCTATTGTTATCCGAATTATGTTTATTATGATTATCATTCTTTTTTGATTTCAACTTTTGTTTCATTTTTCTTAGAGTCGAAGGTAACGCCGAAGATGATACCGAACGTTTTCTGGGATCTCTATTTTGATACGCATTATTTTTTAATTTAGTCGAATTAGAGTGTTTATCCTTGGTCAGACGTGGATCCCTATTAGAACCATTACCATTATTACTACTACTACTTTCTCGAGTATGATTTGAATTTAGGGACGATGTACTGTGTTCTGTTCGAATTCGTGGATCTCTATCTGATACAATGATTCGATTTTCTCTATTAAATCGATTACAATTGTCCCAATCATTGTGTTGTCCTACATCTCTAATTACTCGATCAGATCTAGAACGATTATCGCGGTTAAAACTTTTCCTTCCTTCACTCCTGCATCTATTATCATTGTAGTAACCACCATCTCTACTTCTACCTCGGCTAGATCGATCTCTATCCCTATCTCTATCTCTATCTCTATTATTCCAAGGGCAAGGTGTGCTTGGTCTTGAATATGAATTAGACATTCCCATCATCCCGTCTGGACAACCTATTTCGGGATCATTTCGGTAAGGTGGCTCATTCGACCTATTTATTGGTTGATCCCACGATGGCCTTGCGATCGGATAATCAACGGGTCTATCAAAAGGAACATCATGAAAGCCTCTATATTGAGGAGGGTAACTGTTAGGAGATAACAGTGGTGGTATTATCGGAGAATCATCGTGACCACCAACTTCTGGACCCTGTGGAAGTGGAGTACTCAATAATGGTGGTCTTATTCCATAATGATTTGATCTAATCGACGAATCATTAATTGGATGTGAATCCATAGGAGCTGAGTTTGGAATTCCGGAATTCCACATATCTTGGTGCATCCCCATGTTATGTTGTTGATACATGGTATTAGGCATTGGCATACCTTGCATCGAGTTACTACCTATTGCATTGTAATTATTAGGAGAATTCCATTGAGAATTATAAAAATCATTTTGATTTGGGGGAAGATGAGATGGCCATAAAGGCTGGTTTACAGATTGCCGATTAAAATGTTCTTGTTGGCCCGATAGATCTATTCTTGGACCATCTCCTAAAAGAGGAGTGTGTGCACGTCTTTGATACATCATTGCATTTCTGTCCTCTTGTATAACAGGACCACCATGCGACATGTGCACGTTTCCTCCCATTTCTTCATCGTGCAAACGAGAATGCACATTCAACATTTTATCATTGACATTATCGCGCATCTGACGTTGATACCTATCATAATTTTCGGAGTAACGTAATTCAACTTTATAAGATGGTGAAGATGATTGATGCTTATGGTCAAATGACTTATCAATGTTTGAAGAGAAATTATATTGATGGGAAGATGGTGGACTCTTTATTTCATTTGACTTTAATGTTTCCGATTTTGCATTTAACGATATATGTGCTGCATTAGGCAAAGGTTTCCTTGATGTAAGTTTAACAATATGTTTGTCTGTATCTTCCCAACGTTTGTCGCTTTCCCGATCAATTTCGTCTTGAGAAAGGGAAAATTGTTTAGATGTATTTAAATCAGTATTGGTAGATACTTTTTTGTTGTTATCCTTCTTTGTTGAAGTTTCCTCTGCTGGCTTGTCCCCCAATCCTAATCTTTTAAGATCCGAATTATCTTGCGATTGATCTTCTTTCTTCTTATTATCATCTGTGTCTTCTTCCTCGTTTAGTAATTTGGCTAAATCCTCGAAAGAGAGCGGTGGTTCTGTTGAGACAGGTGGAGGAGGTGAAACTAACATGACTGGTGGCTTTGAGTTTGATTTTGGTGTTGAAAATCCACTATCCTTGGTTCTTGATGAAATTTTCTTAGATTTAGAGAACAAAATCTCTGGACCGGGTGATTTAAGTAAAACTTCTGGAACGCTAACAGGCGATTCTGGTTTAGAATTAGAATTAATTGCATCTAAATCTAATTCAGTCATTATATTTTTTTCTAAAACAGACGAAAGTCTTCTGGAAGCTCCTAACGAAGGTACTGGAACGGTGACTATGTGCCGTGATTTTGTTGGCGCTTGCATATCTGCCATTTTTTGAGGTAAACTGTTACTAATTAATTTAACCACGTTTGGAACATCATGATTACTATTAGTAACTACAGGCTTCCAGGAATTTCTAGTAAATTTAGAACTATGTCGTTCAGATTCTTCTAACATATCCCATTCGGAACAGTTAATATCTTCCACATCTTCGTTATCAATCGAACCAATTCTTGAATTTGGCGAGTGTCTACTTATATCACAACTACGTTCAGTCGGTATTACGATTGGTTTAATACTATGAGACATATCCATTTCATTCATATTTATATGCTTTTCGCAGATATCCAATATCGAGTCTACGCTTCTTTCTGTAGGTATAATTATTGGGGCCGCTTGAGAAACCGTTTCAGGACTCACTGGAGGACTAGGACTAGCTGGAGTTTCTTCCACCGCTGCTTTTGATGTCATCGCTTCAACTTCGGTTGATTCGTCATCTTTCTTGTTACGATTTTCATCGTTCGATGAACTGAAAAATATATTGTCCTATTCTATTGCTATGCATCTAATGAAAATATTGACACAAATAGAATTTGTGAAAATAGTTCTGTTCAACACTTTATTTAAATAAAATTTTACATTAAATATATACTATCAAATTGAAGAATTTAGATACATACGCTGTCGGCTGTGAACCAACGTCCTCGGATTTTTTGTTAGACTCATGAATACCTGGTGCGTTTCCCTGAAACTCGTGTCGAATTAGGATGATTAAAATACACTAATAAAACATGCACTCTACGAAAGCCTGAAATAACTAAAAAATACAGAGCGATAGAGAAAGATAGAGACACATCCATAATAGCATTTTGAGAGTTGTAATAGATTAACAAACCATAATACCATTAATCAAATCAATTTTGTGCAATGGTAATATTGAATTACAATTTGTGTGAATAATATTTATATAACTTGTGTATACATATATATATAATAATAATAATAATAATAATAATAATAATAATAATAACTGTGTAATTTGCAATCTACAATGCATTAAATAAACAAAAATTGAGACCGTAGGATTAGTAGTGAAATAAATCCAAAGCCATAGACAACACTTGATTTTTTGTGAACTTAATGTTTTGCACATATATGTATGTATATATGAATGGTGTGTGTGTGTGTGTGTGTTGCTGGATATAAAAAATTAATAGGAAAAACTACATTTGCCCTTCATAAATTTGTACAATGGATGAGATTAAAAACAAAGTGATAAAAAACATAAATAATTGGACGATGACAAAATATTCGTTGGTTAAAAAACAAATTTATATACATTTATACAGGATTTGCATTCCAAAAATTTAATTTGCAAAAGGGGGTGAACTTAACTTGCAGGAAGGGTGAATTTGGAATGCAAAATCTGTATTTAAAATATTACAATGAACATATGTAGATAAAAATTGTATAATAAATAAGAGTACCTACCTTTTCAACTTTATTGTACAACTTTTGTAGAACATCTTCGCATCTTTTTAAGGTTTCAATCTTTAACCTGTTCCATTAATGATAAGTCAATTGTCAGTATTTATAAAATATAATAATTTATATTTGTAATTATTTAAATTTGCGTCAAAAAAAAATTTCACAAACTTGCGTATACGCACAAATGCAAAAAAAAAAATAAAAAATAGAAATTTGTATTAATTAGTAAATTTATTTCATAAATTGTTCACCGTTATGCAATATTATTACGTTAAACAAAATATAGAAATGCGACGTACTTTCGTTTACTATTAGACAAAATCCCATGAAGACTTTCCATTTTTTGTAATTGAATCTCTCTTGACTCGTCCTTAACATTTTGTAACCTCTCAATCATAGCTTCTAAAAACGGAATGTATTTTTGCATTTCTGCGAATTTTTTACTATATTCGTCCATCTTCTCTGTGTTTTTTTTAAATTTACCTGTATCAACATAAAAACATTTCTTAACTATGCTATATTTTTTTATATAAAAAGAAAAAAAACAAAAGAAAACTAAAAAAATATAAGAGTCAACAAATCTACACATGTGGTGGTAGTGGTGTTATGTAAATGCATATACGAATAACACATCGAATTTTTTAAAGTTAAATAAATAATATATTTATAATTACAATTAATTAAATAATCTGGAAAGAGAATTGTTTTATCACAAAATACTTCGTCACTATACTGAACAAGTTCAACTTCGGAACTGTACAGTTCATTTCCGGAAAATGTTGAAGACATAGATGGCGACACTTGTCACATCCTAATAACATCTTTCTTAAATCATGCTCACCCGTATTAATGTACGAAACTATTCATAAATTCGTGTACTTTAATGAAATTTGAATTTTTTGTTTCAAAAAATCTATACACACATATATAAATATATTAATAAAGGAAAATCTATTTGCATTATATAAGAAGAAATTGCCGACCCTAGCAAATAGTTCGCCATTACGTGTAAATCACACAACGCCGCCATTTTACTTTTATGTTGGACAATGCATAAAGGTAAAAAATAATGTAATATTTACACACACATAGTTGCTACGTTTTATCAAAGAACAATTAAATACCTTCAAAAGTGCAAAGAACTGTCGTATAAGTGTATTTATTTGTTTTTGATATTTAAAAATCTTGATAATAGTCATGAACAATCATGATAAAGTTCATGATAAATTCAACGACGAAAGATATGTATGCGTTTTTTATAGATTCGTTTTACAACAACAACAACAAAATGTACTTTCGCAAACGATCTTTTAACGATACTTTTATTTGTAGATTATCATTATCGAAAATAAATAATGAAGTAAATTATCTAATGTACATTCAAATAATGAATGTATTCTTTTTACTATACCAGGAATATGTTCAACACAATAATTGAATGCATCATAAAGAATCACCAACCTCACTACTTATGCACATATCACTTCCGAACTCTCACTAATCTTCACTTTTAGACATTTTGTAAGTTTGCTTGTTAAACACTATGAACACTAAATCTGTTTCTTCAATTTTAGGTGAGAAACGGTTTTACAATGAAGATAACGTTTTATAATACTACGACACTACAATATATGAACACTATATAAATTCATGACGTAAGAACATTGAAACACAAAACCATTGGATCGTTTCATTCTCTTTACGAACAATCCTATACGTATACTCTTTATACATTGTTCTACCTTTCTTTGGTTCTTATTAAAATATATACGTGATACAAGTATACATATATATATGTCTTTATAAAGAGATGTATACTTCTATATATATATATCACGATTAACTATTTCGTATTATATGAAAAATGTCAGAGTTTACTCGAGAAAATCGATGTCAATTAAAAAAAAAAAAGAAAAAAAAATTGATACAAATTTTGTGTTTAAAAATGAATCGTTTAGTTAAACGACTACATTGTACCCCAAGAAAAAATAAGATCTAATTACAAATATAAAATTGAATTATACATTATTTATAAAAATGTATAATGTTATGTTACAATGCACTAAGAACTATACACCATATAAGTTATCACCAACAATTAAATTAATATTAACAATGTATATAGAGTTAAAAAAATACATTTGCATTATTTACAGAAATAACAAAAGAATCATAAAAAAAGCTTATGTGTTACATCGGCATATAAGAAGACACTCGCGTTAAACCCGAAAACATGGCGTAAGTTCAATCAGTTTTTAACGGATTTAGAGAACGTATAGGACTATAAACTCAAGTTCCCGAATGTTCGTTACAGGTATAAAAGAAAATGGTCGTGTATGTAAAGTCGAAAGGCTGCCTGAAAGGGCGCACAATGGCTGCCTCTATCTACGGCGCCACCACAATCTCGTTAGGTTTCAGCAACGACAAAGCAACGACAACGACAACGACAACGACGGCGAAGACGACGACGCCTACGACGTATATATAAAATTTATCTTCGAGTATGGATGACGTATAAATAATTGTTTAACTTTATTAATTTGACTTACCTTCTGCACTCATTACAATTGAGACATCTGCTTTCGTAGATTGGTTGAATTCATTTAACAAAGTTTAGGCAACGAGGGATCGCTCTTCAATGATATTTTAAATGAATATCCAAACGATACAATGAATATATTTTCTTTTGATTTAACCGATATTTACATTTGTAGCGTAGTTAATCTCTCGGGCCACGTTAAAACGTTTTTCTATACGTTTTATTTTCTTCTTTCTTTCTTTCTTTCTTCAAGTGTCGTATTTTTTATTCGTTATTTCTCTCGAGCAGTGCAATATAATGAATCCGTTTCCTAGGATTCGATCAAATAAAGGACTAGTATAACCGACGATTCAATGACCTATCCATCGCGAATACAAAAAAAGGTCAGCCAGAGACCTTTTCGTTTTAATAAACCGAATTTGATTACTTACCGTACACGCTATTACAAAGGATAATGGTTTATATTATGACTATTGATAGATTTACGTTTATAACAAAATGGATTGAAAACGATTCTCTATCACCTTAATATATCCTATCTATCGTCACTGTGATCTACGTTGTTCTATGACATAAGTTTCTCTTTCGTTACTACTACTACTCTTTTAAACTTTTTCCTTTTAACAAAAATGGATGGTACGAATAAATGTGATATTCGTGGTATATGTGTCTATCCATGTGTATGCGTTTAATTGTCACGTACACGCGAGTGCGCGAGCGCACGCATTCCTATGCGTCAAGTCTTCATCGTCGCATCGTCGTCGTTTCGTCATCGGATAACCAAAAAGATAACTTATTTTGTTGCGTTTTGTCAGTATCTTGATCAAAAATATAAAATACAACTAAATTAACGATATTGCTTTCAACTAACATTGCCTTTCACACGATTCTAAAAAACCCTAATATTTTGAATGCCTCCATCAGTGAAACAACTTCAATATTTATCGTGTTGTTATATACGTTTGATTATTACTATGGACACTAGTTAAATCTACTTTTTTTTCTTTGTTTTTTTCTTCAAATAATTATTAAACACAAGCCACGAAATTCTCTTTCCTGCATTGATCTGCCATTTGCAAATCTTTGCAAGAGTACAGCGACATCCGGCATTACTTTTTTTCCTTGAACTACCATCACCACTAACTACCGCTCGTATAAATTCAACATTTGTGACATCTAGCGATGAAAATTACAAACATTTATCATCTATACATTTTTTTTCGATATCTCGAAGATAAATTTTGAATTTTCTTTTTTTTTCTTTTTTTTCTTTTTAAACGATTTTATAACATTCATAAATATATACGTAATATTATTATTTTATTGTCTACAAGGCATCTCAAATTTTATTATTTATATTTAATATATTTTCGTCGTATACAACACGATCGATCCTCTGTTATTAATTGAAAATGAACGAGAATCTCAAGTTGAAATTATAATTACAATTTTCTGTATATTTATTTTTTTCCTTTTTTCTTGTTTTTTTTTTCTTTAGTTCGATTTTGACATTTTTATAGATGTAATATAATCTAAAGTTTCTAATAATAACTTTTTTATTTACAATGATCGATCTTTTCGTGACACATGATTCCTAGGAGTAGTAAATTTTTTCGCGTTTTTCTTTTTTGCTTTCTTATTCTTTCTTTTTTTTTGTAATCTTACGTTTAGAGAAACATGAATTATTTACAAAGGGAATTTCTGATTTAACGATACGAACTTATAAATAGTAAATCGTTTTTTATCTTTCTGAATTTTCAACTGAATTATAATTAATTGGAGAGATACGTGGTGTTTGTCATTAAATTTGAACAAAATTTTCAAAAGTTTATAAGATTTTCAACAATTTTGTAAGAAACTTGTTTTTTTTTTATTGCACTATGGCTATAATAAAACTACTTTGATTATAATGTATACACGTACACATAATCAACACGCGAATGTATATATATATCCCTAAAATAAGTCATTCGTTATTATCTCACCGTAAAATTAAATGAAACAAAAAAACCCCTCTTTCTTTTTTTTTCTTTTTTTTTTTGCTTTTAATAAGAGATTAAAATATAAATGTGTGTGAGTATTTTTGGAAAATTAATAGAAACAAAACACATATATCTCTCTCGTAATTATTCCATTCAGTAAATAATTTGGATGATAATGTGTTGGTAGCCTTTCTCTCTCTCTCTCTCTCTTTTTCTCGTTAAAGGCTTAGTAGATGGAATATACAACCGTTTTACAAACACATACACTTCTACACACGTTGAATTCATTCTAAATCATATACTTAAGTAAATTTTTTTTTACATAGTAGTAATAATTCATTCCTGCGATTTTGTTTTGTTTTTCTGATTATTATGGACGTATTTTGAAACTTCAAAAGTTCAATAAGGAAATGTATTAAGAGATCAATTTATATTATATATATGATATATGATATATGATATATCATATATCATTTATACATATTCATAAATGTTACACATTTCGCTTTAATATTATAAATAAATTTCCATCGATTAGAAGAAAGTAGAATAAAACGAGATTTCTCTGTTTAATTATTTAAACTAATTGAAAACATAATATTACGACAAATATAAAATTATAATAACTATATATAAAATCATTCTATCATTTATTTAATCTCTAATAATTAATCTTTAAATGATTTATATTTTTTCTTTTTTTTTTCGTAAATAAAGTATTTTTATTTAACTGTTTTTTCACTTTCCTCAGTAGCTAATGTTGTTGTTTATAATATTGTTTACTTAATATTGAATAGGACGCGTTTAATATTTTTAATACAGATTATAAATCGGTATTAAATTACGTAATGATTATAAATGGAAATAGAATGTTCTAATATTCTTCTTATTGAAGAATACAGCCAATGATATTACGCTTATTATAAAATGCGATATTTTTAAACGAATATAAACTAAGAAAATAAAAATAAATAATACAACATATGAAGAAAGTGATAAAGGAATGGAAGTGTTTAATGTTGCCCATCTTTTTCCGTCTTTTTTTTTTCATTCGTTTGTTATTTAAGTTTAATCAATTGAAATGTTTATAGTAATCAGACCAATTATTAAAGCAATAAACACATAATTAGCAGCAGCAGCGATTGAACAAATATTTTCAATGTACAAAGATATCTCGTTAAACCCGTTTCTCTTTATCTCTGATGAAATATTTTTGCTAAATATTTTTTTTTTTCTTTTTGTAAGTACATTAAAAATCTTCAAAACATTTTCTCATCGATTTCGTGTTGGATGTTTTTTCTTTTTCAGATTATTATCTTTATTGCTATTATCATAATTAATATTATTATTTTATACTTCCATCAGTCAGATTGATACTGTACACACATACCTTTATAAAGTATATATATATATATATATATATATATATATATATATATATATATATATATATTATAATATATGCTTAAGGAGCACAAAGTCCTGTCTCTCTTCCATTTATATATACTTTTTCAAGTTAATAAAGTCGCAGTAATCTGTAACTATAGGGATAGGACAAGTGCAGTGTCTAAATTTACATAGGTATTTGTATTAGAGCATAGCACTGTGATTTTTATAACCCATTTCATAAACCAGCATATATCTTATTTGCCTAAAAAATGTTGACAATTTTTTATTTAATGCATTTTACTTTGATACATTTATATTATATATATATATAATATAAATATAGCAAAAAAAAGAAACATAGTGAAATCTCTAATACAAGTAAGTAGCGAGTTTTGTGGTAACAATAAACATAGATCGTGTGTTACTATTTATTATTATTTTGTACCACATCATAGGATATTCACTTATAATAATAAATAATTCAAATTTACATACATGTTGTGAATGTGTAAATAATCGTTGGCGTTAACATTATAATCAGATTTATGTATATCCTAATTATAATGAAGAAATGTCTTCTCTCACATGCAAATAAATTTATTTAGGCAAATAAACACGATTATGCTGCCATTTATATAATTTATTTTTTTTTTTTTTAAATAAAATCTTGATTCTTTTTTTTTTCTTTTTTTCTATGACTGTCATTTTATGTCAGTAAGAATTTTTGTGTTTAGTGTTTCAGTCTTATAAGCAATACATCATTCTTACAACAGAAAACTGTTCACATAATGTGTCAATAAATGGCTTTTACATGTAAATAGCTATGTAAATCTTACACGATACTTTTTTCTATTCTGTACATTTGTAATTCCTACTTAACATACAATCTGAAATTTCGAAGGATTTAACCTATGAGATACTTTGTATGTTTATAAAAAGAAGAAGAAATACTGCGCTCTATATGCTGCTCGAAGATTAAAATATAGAATTAATTGTATATCTTTCTTTCTGTTATTTTTTTTCTCTTTTTCTTTTTTTAATCTTCTTTTCACGTGAGATTGCGTAACAAGAAATTTCACAATTCCAGCACCATTTCGTAAAAATCACTTGCGCTTCGTTTCTTATTATTTTTTTTTTCTTGTAATACGAATTGTTTTTTATACTCATGCCTTTTAATACGAAAGCAAATCCAATTTTGATGGAAGATTCGAAAGCAGGAATATACTACTTGAAAGAAAAATGTCAATGAAAAGTAACGTGTCGAATCAATTATGCACCTTCGTCGAAGCATGTTGAAGTCTTTCCAATTCTTCCAATGACAAAACATTTGTTTGAACAAGCTCTGGTAATTTACCAGCACGTGCTTGTGCAAGAAGTTCAGGAGTAAACCATCGTGCTAACTGATTTGATGTTGGAGATAAATCTCCACCATTGCTACCCATAAATCCAAGACTTGGTGAGTTTTGACGGCCAACGTTGATATTTAATTGTTGCGATCGCATCATTCGTCCATCTAAAAACATATCTTATTAATTATACGTATAAAATTTCATTTTCTATAAATTGTACATACAAAATTGGAACAAAAATATAATTCATGTGTAATGTAGGTAATTATAATTGTGCTTATATTATATACTGATTTCTTATTACACGCTGTAATAATAAAACAAAAATATTAAACTAATAAAATTTCGAATATTTCATTACTTAATTTAAATCCAATGTGATTGCTGATTGAACCAATGGATTAAAAAGGAAATACAGGTATAATGGGAGTTCTAATTATTCCAATTTGAGCATCAATCTGGAACTTAATATGTGATCATAAGAATACTGGATATAAAACAATATATGACATATATATTTAAGAAGAAGGAAAAAACTTTTTAGTTTTAAACTAGTATTGGATAACAAAATATACAAAAAGATATATGTGTGAAGTATTCATATTTACCACATTGTATATCCTATAGATGGCTTATAGAAAAAACAGTGGAAACAAAATTGTACACCTAGTATATACCTGAACGATTGGAGTTGTAGTTTTGATTCAACATAAGTTGCACTTGTGGATTTGTAGATCGCGATTGTTGTGGCTGCTGTTGTTGTTGCTGTTGTTGCTGATGTTGTTGATGTTGCTGATGTACATTAGCCATATGCGATTGAACTTGTTGAACCTGCTTCATTTGGGGATTCATATGATTTGATCGTTGGTTTATCATAGTATTTTGGGTAACATTATATTGAGGAACATTAGGGTGTGATGATACTGTGGGAGCCATAGCATGCTTGGAACGTGCGGGATTGCCATATACATTCGTCATAGATCTATGTTGCTGCTGCTGTTGTTGTTGCTGTTGTTGCTGCTGCTGTTGCTGCTGCTGTTGCTGCTGTTGCTGCTGCTGCTGCTGTTGTTGCTGCTGCTGCTGTTGTTGCTGCTGTTGTTGTTGTTGCTGTTGTTGATAGTCTAAGTTACCACTGTACTGATACTGATTTGCAGTGTTACCACCACCACCTTTTACTATTGGTCGTCCTAAAATTGAAAGTATATTACACATTATCTTCTTAACTCAATAATTGTTAATCAATTCACTGTATTAATCAATACAAATAAACATACCAGGATATTGCTTAATATTTGGATTAGACCATGAAGATTGAATAGACTGCTGTGGCCGCAATGTGTTATGTCGCGAAAGGACTCCTTGCGTAAGTAATTGCACTGCAGATTGCATTTGTTGCACTTGATTTTGATTAGCCAATTTTGCTAGATCATTGCTGTTACCTGTATTAAACACATAAATTACATAAATTGACATACAATCAAAACGTGTTAACAATTACGTAGTAATAACTTTTTCTTATTATAATACAAACAGTGAAAAGTTTTCATGCTTTATATGCTGTATTTATAACATGCAATTTAGAATCTATATGTTTATATGATACGAACACACATAGATTCTTTTTTTTTACATAAACATTGTAACGAACACAAATAGCTATTCATTTTTTATGAACAAAGTACAATATACAAATATATGAGATAATATTTGTGCCATTATATTTCTTCTTATAATAAATATATAACATCATAACGTGTATCATATAAATGTTTCTACTTAAAAACTGTGTGTACATATGCAGGACAAATGATTTAGAGAAAGTTTGTAAAGGAAAAATGAATAAAGTGTAGAGGTAAACTGAAAGCGTGAGAGAGATATTTATAAAGTATTTTTATTATAGGAACTATTTCGACAAACTTTTAGAAGCAAGATAAATTTTTTCAACGATCTGTGTGATATAGACACCAAGTTATACTTGTGATAGTTTTCATATCACGTTTTTTACAGAACTCAAAAGAATATACCTTTTAAAAATAAACATATAAAAAAAGTTACATACTGTGTGTTGTATCAAGAAAAAAATAAAAAAATAAAAATATGCATTTTTTTTTTTCGTTTACAAAAAAACATTGAAGAGGTACGGTATTACAATATTTACTAGTTTTCAAATAATTTTTTTATATATATACTTTAAGTTTCTTTTTTTTGTTAAACAAAATATGGTAGGAATATGTATATGTGTAGTATGTGTAGTATGTATGTATGTATGTATGTATGTATGTATGTATGTATGTATGTATGTATGTATGTGCTATTGATTTGAAAAAATTTAAAATTTTAAACGAAAACTTTTGAAATTGATGAATCCCTAATAGATAATTTGATACATTCTTTATCTTTTAAAGTGATTGCTTCCACTACTTTACTATTTTTATCTAATATTGCATTGATCTCTTTTAATCGTATATTTTTATCTGCAGGCTTGATATTATCAACGATCATTTTATCTTCCTTTAACATATTTAAATTTGAATTATCATTAGAATCTTGGTTATGAACTAAGGAACAAAAATATTTAGTTTTCAATGCTGTATCATCTGTAGCAAAATTACACCTATTATTCATTCCCATGTTATATGCAATAGACGAGGCATTATTAAAATGATTTTCTTGATATTTAAAAACACAAGTTATAGGTTTGTACATGCTATCAGAAAATTGGCATAGCTGTAGCGTAGAAATGCACCGATTTTGAAACTTACTAAAGCTATCCTGACTGTTATGATAAAGAGAAGAAATAGAGAAAATTGGTTCTACTTGATGGTTTAAATGATTCGCACCCTCTGGCTCCTTATCGGCGGTCATTTTTCGTAATACTGATGTTGGCGTGAAAGCAAGTGGCGTTGGACTCATCGTTTGCTTTGCTGAAGAATTAACAGGAGTGGACGGTCTTTGCTGAATCTGTTGTTGCTGCTGCTGCTGCTGATCCTGTCGTTTACGATAATTTTCACGTTGTTCTTCTAATTTCTTTTTAATTAAAGCATTTTGCATAATGGATTGAGTATGCATAACCAGTTCCCGCGGTGATGGTACTCTGTGCGGTATAACTATTAAAATCACATAAATTATCTTCTATAAAAGTAATTTTTAAAATATTATTTTAATTAATTTTCCATTAGTTTTTTTAAATTATTTATTTATTTTAAAATAAAAGTTTATCCTGTTCCTTCAAGATTCAAAATATAAGAAGATTTACTAAATGTGTCTTCTTTTCGTTTTATTTCTTTTGAAATAATTTTGTTTTACCTGAATGATTTGCTGATAATGTGTTAGGACTGGTTGCTACATTTGATGGAATTATTGGGGGTGGGCAATAAGCTGCATTCCGAACGTATGCAAATAATTTATAAGACACTGTGCATTAGGATGGGTCAAAAAAATGACTTTTTTTTTTTCAAGTGCCACGGAAAAATGGGTTGTTAGACACCTTAAACAAATTGTCACCAAATATGAGCTCTTAATTTTAATAGGAAGATCCTCCGCATCGCAGTTTTTTATTTTTTTTTCAGTCCAATAGATTAAAATTCCTTTCTCATTATTTAATGATTGTACAGAAAAATGTTCTGGACGAATTTTGTAGGAAATTTAATGCTCTACAAAAAAGGTATCTTATATTTTTTCCGTAAACCTCACCATTTGAATGATATTGAAGATTTAARWTTNATTATTTTAAGACAAATTTCATTTTTGTTTATGAATTTTATAACTCGACAATAAATAACTATTATAAGATGCGCAATACAAATTTTTGAAGGAAATTAACTGCTCTATGCAAATGGTGTCTTATGTTTTGGCGATTAAATTAAGCGTTCAAAAGATACTCATTATCAAACTTTCATGTGTACTGATTTCTGTCTCTAAATATCTTTTGAACGCTTAATTTAATCGCCAAAACATAAGACACCATTTTTATAGAACAGTTAATTTCCTACAAAATTTGTATTGCGCATTTTATAATAGTCATTTATAGTCGAGTTATAAAATTCATAAACAAAAATGAAATTTGTCTTAAAATAATGAAACTTAAATCTTCAATATCATTCAAATGATGAGGTTTACGGAAAAAATATAAGATACCTTTTTTGTAGAGCATTAAATTTCCTACAAAATTCGTCCAGAACATTTTTCTGTACAATCAATAAATAATGAGGTATGAATTTTAATCTATTAAACTGAAAAAAAAATAAAAAACTGCGATGCGGAGGATCTTCCTATTAAAATTAAGAACTCATATTTGGGGAGAATTGTTTTAAGGTGTCTAACAACCCATTTTTCCGTGGCACTTGAAAAAAAAAAAAAAAGTCATTTTTTTGACCCACCCTACTGTGCATATTAGTACAATATATTTAACAAAATTTCTTCAATTATTCAATTTGTATCTCTAATATCATCGGTTGTCTTTTATTTGTGATATTGGAATTAAAATAGAAAAAAATTTTTCAGAAAGGTATAAAATAGAATAAATGACAACCATATAAAACACTTACCATTATTCATAGGAGAAGGAATCCGTTGTTGTTGCTGTTGTTGTTGTTGCTGCTGTTGCTGCTGCTGATGCTGATGTTGGTGTTGATGCTGGTGCTGATGTTGATGCTGATGTTGATGCTGATGTTGATGCTGATGTGGTTGATGCTGATGTTGTTGATGCTGCTGTTGTTGATGCTGCTGTTGATACAACATTTGATGCAAAATATGATCTTGTGGAGTAGGTGCATTTGGATGTGGACTTATCGCACGTGGAGTAGTTCCACCAAACATTTTAAGAATATTAACGAGAACCTCTCGATGTCGATGTTGCATGGCAGGATTCTAATTAATTTAATATTAATACCAATAAATATTATACATTGACTGATTAATTTATTGTAAATGCATACCTGTAACTGTTGAATCAAATGTTGTTTTGTTATTTCCCCTTGCTGCAAACCTTGAATTATAGCTTGTGCTTCTGGTCTTTGTGTTAATTCTTGGTTAGATTGAGTAACATTATTCATCATCATTTGCATATCTGTTGGCACAGGACTAACACCCATCAATCGTTGACCACTCATTATCATAGACAGCATGTCAGAGTGTTGTTGTTGTTGCTGTCGTTGCTTTTGCTGCTGTTGTTGTTGTTGTTGTTGTTGTTGTTGCTGCTGTTGCTGCTAATATATCATAGACCACAAACATTACAGAAACAATTTGGCTAAAAAATGAATTGTCGACATATAAGATTAATAACAAACCTGTTGTATTTGCAATACTTTAATTAAGTTTTCGTGTTGCATTTGAACTTGGTGTGGATGTTGAGTAGGAGCAATGGGACCAACGTGATTAAATGTTGAAGGATGAATTTGATCTGCAATTGCATGCGATTGTTGAGGGACAACCGATTGCTGTGGTGTCTTTAATTGTGAATTAAGCAACTGTAAAGAAGTTTATTTGATTATGTAGTAAGTTAGTCAAATATTAGGTATTTAAAGCACAAAAAGAAAAACAAATAATACCTGCATCAATGTTACAGATTGTCGTTTTTGAGGCATAGGCCCGTTTGCTGCTGGTACAGCTTGTCCACCAGTTACTTGAGCAAGCTTAAATATAAAAATATTAAAAATAAATAATAAGTATATCCATCAAAGATAGTTTAAAAACAATTGAATAATTTTACCAATTTTTTAAAGGCAGAAAGATCCTCTTCAGTCTTATTTACACGGGACAACTCAGCCGTAGATGAAGGTGGAGGAACTCCGCCACGCATACGTGCTTCCAATTCTTCTACACTATGCACAACTTTTCCACCTACTTCTGTAAATAATATATCATATCATAAGACATTCATATTAAAATATATTTTCAAGTTATGTTATAATATCAGAAATAATTTTACCCATATCTTTGATAGAAGAACTTTTCATTAATGATATAACTGGTGTAGTTAAATCTGCTTGACCATTTTGATTGTGCTGCTGTTGCTGTTGTTGTTGTTGTTGTTGTTGTTGCTTATTACCACGTTGCAACATTTCGAGAAGTTTAACACCAGTGGTAGATGTAGTATTATTAGTAGTTTGAATAGCAGGTGATATAGGAGCAAAGTATGCATTTGATTCAGTAACTGATGGAATTTGAATATTTGGTTCAGAAATATCATTGAGTAAATTATTCAACATTTCTTCCTGTATAGCTCTGCAACTCTCTGTTTGTTGCTGAATAGGGCTTTCTCTTTTAAACCACTGACTGAATCGAGAACATGATCCACCATTTGAACCAACTCCATTCTATAAAAAATAATATGTTTAAAGATAATTTATTATTTTGAATTTATTTCATATAATTGATATTAATTAACTTACTGTTAACAAGTCAGGAACACCAGGGAAAGTATCAGATTTCAAAAAGTCGTCTAGATTAAAATCAGGATGACTATTTTCATCATTTTTACGAGCTTCGGAATTATCAACCATCTCGGTACTTGATTCTGTCATGATGCTATCGCTAGTATCCTGAGATTCTTTATTAGAATCAGATGATGGCTCATTTTGTTCAGATATAGGTGAATGTGGTGCAGGTACAGCATTAATTGATTGATCTAGAGTGGTTGGGGTACTACGTCCCTTAGGACCAATTATATTCTCATTAGGTTTGTCATCTTTTTCTAAAGAATTTCGTTTTCCGCGTTTCTTTGGAGCAGGATATTTTTTAGTTTTCACATTGATACTGTTACTAACTACTTTTTCTTCTGGAATATCCTCAAAACCTCTTAACTCGATAGTATCATGTTGGGATGTAGGTCCTGAGCTAAACCACTCCGGTTCATTAGCATCACGATTATCACCACAGCTTTTTCTACGATCATTACTAAATCTTCTCTCACGTCCCCGTTCCTTATCACGATCATTCTGATGATTACGCTCGATTCTATCCACTCCCCTATCTCGATCGCGATCTCTTTCACGATCTCCAAAGTTAAGACCAAATGATCGACGTTCGATGACATATCGATCATTTCTTTCGTCCCGATCACGTAAATTGTCCCGTTCACGTTCTCTATCCCGTATATTTTCACGATCTTTATTTACCTTACTTTCTCTATTGTCACGATCACGTGTAACAGATATATATGAGAACTCTGTACGTTCTGATTCAAGTTTTTCATTTTCAGATCTAAAGTCCCATATGTCACGTGTCAAAATTCTACCACTACCAATCCGTCGAACTGTTTCCCGATGACTGACCTGAAAAATTTCAAGGGTTCTTCAAATATTCTTAACAACATTAAGATATATAAGTATGTAATTTACCTCTGTTTTACCAATTGGACTTTCAGAGCGTCTACTTGGTACATTACACGTCACATTAACAAAACATCCAGAATTAAAACTTCGTCTTTGGGGACTTAAAACAATACCATCCTGTTCTTTTCGTATTCGTTCCCGAGGATCACCACTGCGACGCTTGTTATGATTTTCAGTAATGGGTTCGGAACGTATACCTTTGTCATCTTTAGGCGGCGTGTCACTACATTTTCTGTTTGAATGCCAACGTTCAGGGTCCCATACACCACGTGTACTTTAAAACATTTTCAACAAATTTTTTTATTACAAATGATACAAATAAAATGATAAAAATAAATATGATAAATATAATTAATATTAATATAGGAATATAATATTATTATCGTACTTATTGTAAGAGGTATCCAGGAAACCAGGTCTGCGTTTAGATAAAGGTAAACCTTTTATCGTCATCAATTCCTCCTAAATATGAAGAAAAATATTTACAACAATATTACAATACATATCTTATCTAAAATCTTTGTAAATGATATATATATATATACCCTTGTATATTGAAATTGAGGTCTTGAACGTCCAATTTCCATAATGGAAGTATCAGTTACCTCCCCAGCCACGGACATTGATATAATTGCATCATCTCCTATAAAACACATTGAAAAACAATTATTTATTAGAAAATATTATAAATAGTAGTATTTCAGCAATTGATATGTTAAAATTTCAATATAGAAGTATTATTATTAATATATATAAAAAAAAGAAGAAAAAAAAGTAAATCCTGATCTACAGGAGGATAAATCATGAGAGTAAAGTTGGTGGTTTTTTTTATTCTTCTTCTTCTTCTTCTTCTTCTTCTTCTTCTTCTTCTTCTTCTTCCTTTGTTATAATAAATCTTTTCATACAGAGATATGATAGGATTGATGGGAGAAAAAAAAATTGTAAATAAATAATATAAAAAAAAAAAGATATGAAAATACTTACGAAAAGTAACCCGTTTTAACGGATTTACTGATTTATTTTTACGAAACCATCGACAAGCTCGAGTTTGAACTACCAAAGTTGCATCTAAGTATGGAGATCCTGTAGGTCCGACAAGCGGACGTTTTCGAGAACGTCGGTACCAGTTTGAACCAACTAAAGTATGAGCATCGTCTAATCTCATATTTAATTTCAATTAACAAATAAGTTTTAAAATGAAACTATAATTACACCTTCTTAAACTTAATTTAACTAAATAGTAGTAGTAGTAGTCCTGATTTATAAATCTAACTCTCTAGATATATTTTTACTAATAACAATATATTATAATATATAAATATATATGTAATATAATATAATATAATATGTGTGTATATTTAAGTACTTTTATTCATAGAGTTCGATACAAAACTGCGCTTATTCTACCCGTTTCACTCAACTTTATTTCTCTTCTATTTCGTTATAACCGTTCTGAAATTGAAGCTAAATATTTACTAATAAAGGACGAAAAGAGGACTTTCAAAATTTGAGTTCTATTTAACAGAGAATATTATCTTCAAGCATATATATATATATATATATATATATATATATGTATTTGTGTATGTGTATGTTGTATAATAATCTCGAATGTTCACACTGGTTCAATTTTAAGAAATAATACACTAACAGATCATTTCAATATTAATCGTTTTATCATAAATTACTATTATTATTATTATTATTATTATTATTATGATTTATATTATTGTTATTTATATAGGAAGATTTTACGCGTACTTTTAACGCGATTTTTGAATTTGTGCGAAAAGAAGAAGATAAAAAACAAGAAAAAAATAATAATAAATTAAAGAATTATAATAAAATGAAGATCGATAAACGAAATAAACAGATTTCTATGATGATGATGATGATGATGATAATAAAGGAAAATTTGAAATTTAACCTCGATAGGAAGATACGTTAATTCGAATGATACGACACTAAACTGAGCCTACCTATCCAAGTTTTTACACTAAAAACAAGTCAACTTTTGACTTTGAAACTTCTTACCATTTCAATCAAATATTTCAAATGTTATTCAATCTGTTAACATGTATTTGAATTAACTGATATTACGGTTTCTATTCGAATTAAATGATTTTAACCGACATTTTCCTTTTTTTTTTTTACTTTCAATAATTAAACATATGATATTTATCAAAATAAATCAAATACACATTAGTAACGATTAAAGCAATGGCTGTTGTATAAATTTAAATATATATTTATGTATAAATATACTATTTATATTATTGGTTACACAGATTAAATTTAAAAAAAAAAAGAAAAAAAATAATAGAAAAACAGAGAAACATATTTAAATTATTAATATTTCAACGACGTCATATTTTTGAATTAGATTAGAATTTTATAATAAAATATTCTTTATGATATATTATAAATGAAAGTTGCATGTTATTTGAATATCTTTTTTTCTTCATTAAAATATTAACGTTTCCATATAGCAACGATTTTTCTACGTTATGAAACATTGAAAATTATGTAACCTCAAAAGAAAGAAAAATATTACAAACAAATGTAACTATTTACTCATTATAATAATAATGATTATTATTTTAATTACATCATTAAGAGTTTGATTTATATTTTAATCAATCATTTTTGTTTTATATTCTTTCAACATTACAATTATTATTCTTATATATTTATATATATGCATATGATTTGTATTGTTAATATTTCTTTTGTATTTATTTCATTTTATTTAATATTTTATTATAAAAATGATTGAATCCAAAATTGATATTTGTTAATTCCTTAACAATAATTCAAATATTATTATTATAATATATAAAAGTACAAAAAAATAATATTTCCAAGGTGTATCGTTAATAACCTTTCCCTTTGGTATATCAACAAGAAAAATACATTTATGAGAAAATAAAGTAAAATATTGTTTTGTTTGATCATATTCATTTTAATTATAATTTGATAATTTGAGAATATTCTTTTCAACAAACAATTTCTTTGGCTAGAAAAAAATAACAAACAAACAAACAAAATTGTTCAACAAATTAATCAATTATATTATTAGATATTACAAATGTGATCACATACATGTTAGTAATACTTTTCATATAAATATAAAAGATATAATAGAAAAGTAGAAGGAATGTATAATGATAATGTTATGCTAAATTTGAAAATGAAAAACAATAAGAATCACAGTGAAGGAAATAAATAATTCAAAATATGAGAATGAATAAAACTATGAACATGCAAACAAGCAAGAATACTTCTAATCATTACTTTATATACACACACACACACATATTGGAAATATTGTTAGGAGGTCATATAAGTAATAAAAAAGAAATGGTATCATCTATTATCCATCACCAGTTGATGAAATCTTTAAATACCAAATACGAAACTTTTTTAAATACCTGTTGATTTTTGATTTTGCAGCTGTTTTTCACTTGTCACAGATTCCAAAGACATTCTTCTTTCGTCCACGAAAAAAGTTTAAGGTATTACACTACTTTTTTTATAATTTCTTTTATTCTTCCTCTCTTCTACTCTTTTCTCTCCTCTCTCTCTCCCTCTCCCCCCTCTCTCTCCTTTTATATATATATATATATATATATATATATATTATATATATATGTTATATGTATGAATGTATGTTTGTGTGTATGTATGTATGTATGTATGTATGTTGTGCGTGTGTATGTATGAATGTATGTATGTATGTATGAATTTATGTTGTGCGTGTTATGTATGTATGTATGTATGAATTTATGTTGTACGTGTTATGTATGTATGTATGTATGTATGTATGTATGTATGTATGTATGTATGTATGTATGTATGTATGTATGTATGTATGTATGTATGTATGTATGTANGTATGTATGTATGTATGTATGTATGTATGTATGTATGTATGTATGTATGTATGTATGTATGTATGTATGTATGTATGTATGTATGTATGTATGTGTATTATATCTTTCTAGTCCTATCTATGTTTCACGCAACATATATGTGTATACGCGATTGTGTATAATTTACACTTGGCTATATTCTAAACTGCTTAATATCACAGACTGATTTTCTTTTTATTATGTGTCACTGTTCTTTATTAAGTGATATAAAGAAAATCCTTTTATTCTTTCTTCTTTTTCCCTTCTGTCTTTCTTTCTTTCTTTCTTTCTCTCTTTCTCTCTCTCTCTCTCTCTCTCTCTCTCTCTCACACTCCCCGTTTCCCCCTCTCTTTCGCTCAATCTCAATCTCTCTCTCTCTCTCTCTCTCTTTTTCTCTCTCTATCTATCTATCGCTCTTTCTCCTTCACGTTCTGTCTTTTTTTTAATTTTTTTTTATTAAATTTTTTATTTAACAATTAATCGCTGGGTTATTGAAATACAATTTTTTCTCACCATTCACTCCTCGAAAAAAAAGGAGAACTAAGTAAAAGTGTTTATAAACGAACGAAAACGAACTTTATCGTAATAATGAAAACGATAAATTGGATAAACCTTATATCGTAGTATTTGGTATATATGTTCTTAACGATCATCTCATTGCTACGGCAAATCAGCATCAAAATGATTATTATTATTTTCTTGATTTAATACACTAAACGTACACATACAACACACTAATCACTCTTATGCAAAAATAGAAAATGGCGCACGATCCCCACTTCCGTCGTTGTTTCTCTTTGCCTCCTTGATCAACAAGGGGCACCTTTCTTCCCATGAACCAAACGGTAATAAGATGGAATGTAATAAACTATATCAATGGGGGATGATTCACGAAATTTTAACTGCGCATGATCGATTTCAACCAAACCTATCGACGAGAGAATAAATTCATTTATTTTTAAATATGTTCAATTAAAACTAATTTTATTATTCTGTTTAAATTAATTTAAATTTACGCGATATATCGATTATCTCTGTAGTTTATTTTTATTTGCTCCAGCGTCTAGATAAATATATTATCGTACATGAAAATAAATTCACAAGAGAAAGAAATAAAGGATGAATTTGAGCGACATCTGTCAACAAATTAATTCACACTTTATTTCTTTAATTCGTGTGAATTTACTTTTTAAAATTAAAAAATTTATTATTTATACTTATATTCGTATATTTATATAAATTCTACTAAATTCATATTACTGTTAAACGTATATTTTAATACCGACAGGTTAAACGGTATTCCTCGATCCTTACTTCAAGAAGCGAATAAAAACACATCTTACTCAAGTTCGAGAAAATGTGTAGAAAAAATACCGCGAATTTTTTGAATCTGAAAATAATGAAATCACGAATAATGCATAATAATTCCTACTCACAAATTTGATATTTTCAATCTATCGAAATATATACGTATTAATTATTCGTGTTATTAATGATTATTACTAAAAATGAAATATAATTTTCTAAGACAAGTAATTTGCAAATTAAAATTGTTTATTAAGAACTAAATGCAAGTTTGAAAATTTCAAAAAAGGCAACTTCTCAAAAAATAATAAATACTTCTAAATAATACCTTTATGATAGTCAATTTTCAATTATCAATTAGAAAATCAATATCTCATGAGTGTAAGGTCTTTTTGGTATAAAAAGACGGCGCTGATGTACCGATTTCAGGATCTGCTATTAACTTGGTCGCGCATGTAAGTTGTGAACACCGGTAAAAGGCGGTACGTTGAGGAGTCGTTATTAACCGTTGATGAAATATACGCAAGACTACATAGATGATATATAGAAAACGTTAAAAAGAACTGTTCAACTTATTTTTTTTCTCGAGTAATATCATCTCAAAAATAGAAGGCCACAAAGGAAAAGTAAAAAATATTTACGTAAATATATTTTTTCTGTAAACGTACAAACAAATAAATTAAAAAAACAAAACTAAATTCGAAAAAGGAAACTTAAACAAACAAAAAAATAAAAGAAGAAGAAGAGAGGAAAGAAAAAAAAAGCAAAAAGCCTTGAATAATATAAAAGAAATTAAATGGCAACACGTAGAAATGCAAAGCAATCCAACGTTGAGTCGATGGAAAAAATTGCGGAAACCGACAAAGTATCACCTCCGAAACGCACGAAACTCGGCAAATCAGCAATCGACAAATTGAAGGATATGAAATCTACGAAATCTACTAAATCTACTAAATCTACTAAATCTACTAAATCTGCCAAAAACCTTTCTTCAGAAAATAATAATGAAGAAATAGAAACTAAATCAGAACCTGTTAAAAAATCAAGGACGAGAAATAAGACAGATACTAGTGTAAAGAATAGGAATAAAGAAGTTGAACCGATTGAAGAACAAACGACGAAATTAAAACGCGTCACTAAGAAATCTAAACCTCTAACTGAGGATAATTCATCTACTGAAGATCAGAATGGATTAGTCGATGAAGCCGATGATGAGACATCTAAAAAAATACCAACGAAAAGGACACGTGCTAAAAAGGTCCCAGAAAAGGCGGGAAATATTAAGGACGTTAACGCCGTTGAAGATGGTATACGATTTATTTATAATTACTTTTATTTATATAATTTTTATCTTTATTTTGTTTTTTCTTTTTTTTTTCTTCATTTTTTAACTATTTAAAATAAATTTTTTTTTACATATATATATATATATATTAGGAGTACAAATAAGTTTCCGCCGTTTTGAGAGAGATGGCATGGCACGAGGCTTATGTTAGAATTCGCAGATGATAACCGGCTTGAAAATTAGGTTGCTCATTCAAAAGCAACATAACCCTATCATATTATTAACTTCGTATTAGCATCATATATTTCTTTTTTTATCCAAAAATGTCTAAATTTGAGCCAAATAAACGTCATTTACGGGAACTTTTAATTTACTTCTTTAATTTAAAAAAATCTGCAGCTGAGGCGCATCGATTGCTCGTAGAAGCATATAATGAGGCTGCTTTGAGTGAGAGAACATGTCGTGAGTGGTTTCAAAAGTTTAAAAAAGGTGATTTTGACGTAAAAGACAAAGATCGCAGTGGAAGGCCAAAAATTTACGAGGATGCAGAATTGGAGGAATTATTGGAGGAAGATTCGTCTCAAACACAAAAGAAACTTGCACTTACTTTAGAAGTCACTCAGCAAGCAGTCTCACATCGTTTAAAATCGTTAGGAATGATTCATAAACAAGGTAATTGGGTTCCATACGAATTAAAGCAGTTCACATCATTTGAAGATACCAAAAATTGGGTTGATTCGTGGATAACCTCAAAAGATAAGGAGTTCTTCAGACATGGAATCCGAACGCTGCTTGAAAGATGGGAAAAAGTAGTTGCTGATGTGATGGACAATTCTTCGATTAAATTTAAACTATCTTTTTTTCACAATAAATATTATTTTTTTGACAAAAAACGGCGGAAACTTATTTGTACTCCTAATAAACTAATATTATACGTAAAAAAAAGATATTTTGAATAGAAAAATTAATAAGATTAAATGATTTAATAGGAAAATCTATAATCTTTTTCTTTTTGTATGAATGAATGTATAAATGAATATTTTTGTTTTAGCCAAAGAAAAACCAAACACAAGATCCAAAAGAATTGAAGCACTTAAAGAAGCAAATAGTATTCCAGCGGATACTAAAGAAAAGAAAAAGAATACTTCTGAAAAATTACCTAAATCACCTAAGGTACCTAGGAAGGAAACTAAAACAAATGTAAAACCAGTAAAGAAAGTTGTAGAAAAAAATGAAGCTATAGTTGAAGAAAAGAAAAAAGCTACTAAAGCTAAAACAACAAAAAGTAATACTAAAGTAATGAATGATGATAAAAAAGCCAAAGCACGGACAACTAAGAAGATGCAGGAACAAGCAGATGTTTCAGATGAAGCTGAAAATAATGTAGAAGAAACCAACATTCCTAAACCAGTTAAAGGAAGATCAAAAAGAACTAATAAAGATAATGCAAAAGATCATTCAAAGAAAGTAAACAATAAGGAAGTTGCTGCTATAAATGAAGAGGAAAATAAATTACAAGATGATCAATTAATAATGGAAAAAGTAGAAGAAGAAGAAGAAGATGATGAAAAAATGGAGGTTGAACCTAATGAAATATCAAAAAATAATAATCTTCAGAAAAAAGTCACTAATAATAGTAACATATCTCTGAATTTAGAAGACTCTGATTCAACACCAGATGAAAAAGAAGTCTCGGTAAATGTATTAATGATAAATAAGTTAATTCTTTTCTTCTTATTCCATACATAATTAACAAATAATATATTTATCGAAATTTTAGATGTTCACGTGCGGAAAGGAAGAAGAAGAAGACTAATTGTCACAGTGAAGAAGGAACTAAAACAGTACCTTATATTCTTAAAAAGAAGTTATATTTTTTTAAAATTATAAACGATAAGAAAATACTATTGAGGTTAATTCATAAAATCCTTTTTAGTTCTATAACGTATTATTTATAAGAATCTTTTATTTCTGCTATTAATTATAAAATGATCTTTAGTTCATTTTTTTTATTTTTTTAATGCTAAGTGATTTTATTGTATTAACGTAAAAATAAAATAAATATTTCATGTTCTATCAAACGTGAATTTATATTCACGCCATAAAACAGGTTAAATAATATATATATATGTTTCATGTCACTTAAATATGTTAATAATTTAATAAATAAATAATTTAAAATAAAATATTTCTGTACATCTGCCATTTATAATCGTATGTTCATTTAAATTTATGTTAGAAACGTTGTAAACAAATGAAAGCTAAAAATACTTGAAGCACGTGGTGCTGAATGACGATCGATGTACGTAATCGTTTGTTAGCACTCTCAACGCCATCAAGCGGCGTAATGTACGAACTAACTATGTAACTAACCTTGATTTTGAATGAGACGTTTGAACTATCGTTTCTTACGTTCGTGCTGTAAAACGTAATAACAAATTTCTTAAATTTAACGAAGTTTTAATGTTTTTCAAATAGAAATAAATAAATATATTATTAAAACTATAATGTATTTTATTTTATTAGTGACATATTGAAAAGATTAAAGATGAACGCGACGAAGAAAATAAATGTTAATTTTTCATCTTTGGTGGGTTTAAAAGCTGAACTTTTACGAAAACAAACAGAAGTAAAAGAGGCCAAGGCACATATTGAGATAACCCAAACAATTAAACTTAAACGTAAATCGAAACAAGTCAAAAATGAAACAAATAAAAATTCTACTGAAGAATTAACAGACATAGATGATATAAATAATCACAAGAAATCTAAGATTGTGTTGGAAGCCAAATCCAGATTGTATACAAAGTTGAAAAAGTTAAAAAATAGTAATGACAATTATCTCGTTGATTTTACTAATAAATCAGATGAATCTGAAGAAGAAATTATTAAAGAAGATGATTACGATGACAGATTCGTAGACTCGGAGGACAGGTGGGTCGAATATGAGGATTGTTTTGGACGTACAAGAAAATGTTTAGCTAAAGATCTCCCATTGATGCGTGAGAAAGATGATTTATTAAAACAAGAAATAATGAAGAAGAATATTCAACAGAGTAATGAGTCTAATAATGTCGAAGAGTCTCAACTAACGAAAGAATCAGAAATAGATGTTATGAGAAGAAAATGGGAGGAACAAACGCAAAAGCTTGCTGATAAATCTGATATACATTATCAAGATATTTTATTTGACGAAGCTCGAGCACATGGCGTTGGATATTATGCTTTTTCCCAAGATGAAGAAGAGAGAATCAAACAACAAGAGAATTTAAATAATTTAAGAAAAGAAACTGAACAGAAACAAAAGAATATCAAAGAATTGAAGGATTTGAGGGATAAGATGGAACGAAATAGATTGAAAGCGGCTAAAATTAGACAAAGAATTAGAGCAGGTTTACCTATTGAACCAGAAGACGAAGAAAAGAAATCTACAAATACTGTTGATATTTCCAATGACGTTAATACTACTTACAATGTTTCTTTGTTAAAAGAAAGTGAAGTATCTAAAGATGATACATGTAAAGAGAATGAGAAAACTAGAGAAGAACAGATAAAAGCATTAGAAGATACTTTAGAAAAGCAAAAAATTTGGCGAGAAATGTCTCAAGAGGAATGGGTGTATAAATGTAGAAAACAAAGAGTACCAGAATTCGCACCTGTTTATAATCAAGTTTTGGGATCACGTTTAGAAGAAATTAAACAATCTGATGATACTGTGGAATCTAATAAAGTCTCCAATCAAATTGATCCTTTGACTAATGTTAATAGATTATCTGCTGATCAAAATGCTTCATCAACAGAAGAAAAAATTTTAAAATGTAACAATGATCTTAAGCCTAATCAAAGTATTAATAATGTTTTAAATAGAACTATTGATGAGGAAAAGATAGCTGCTGGTCTTAGATACCTGAGAGAAAAATACGAACAAAGTCAAAATCGTTGATTTAAATGTTTGAATTTTCTAAACCATTGAACATATTTAAACGATGTAAATATATTTTTACTATATCTTATAATTATAAGATGAATAATGAGTAAATTGTAGTATAATATTTTTATTTGTATTTTTTTTTTTTTTTTGCAACGATATTCATCTCATGTATATTAATTTTGTATATATGTGATAAAAAAAATATATATTTTCTTATAAAATTTATTTTGCCAACAGTCTTTTTCAACCTCAATTAATTAATTTTCTGAAACATCAATTAGAAAATAAAAATGATTAAAAATCAAACAATCGTAGCGTTTTTTTTTTTAATATCTACGTAAACCAAAGAAATATATACCCATTAAATCTAGTTCTATTTCATTTTTACATGAAATACATTGCAAAGAATCCACAACTTGCGCGTATTTTTCTAAACAAGGTATGTGCATCTTAGCATCGCAATTTGTACATTTTTGACCCTTTTGTACAATAAGAAATCTAATTATTTTTCACTGAAATATTATAAATAAGATTAAATAAATATCGTTCTAAATATCTTACAAAAAAGACGATCTCCTTGCATAAGTTACAAGATTGTAGAGAGTCATCGTAAGTGGCCTTGAAGTAAGGCATCAATTCGACTATACTGCGTACTCCTATGTAATATTTGCCATTCTAAAATAAACATTTCATTCAATATAATTTATGATATATATAAATGAAGAATAATTCAATGTGTGTGTGTGTGATCAGATTACCTTCAACGAGAGCCATTTTTTATCAACCATTTGATCCAAAAACTTAGTTGCATCTATTTTTAACATTTTCACGTCCACAAGTGAACATAAATTAAGACATGCAGTACTAGAAGCACAACCGTTTCTTGACGATATTATCTCTGATAAAATTTGTCTGAACAATTCTAAATGAATTCTAGGAAAGTTCGTCTGATAACTACAATGGAAAAAAAATCAATTAGTCATAACTATCATTATTAAAATACAATTTTATGTTTATTACCTGCTAACATCTTGTAGAACTGTACTTGTAATTGCCCAATATGTTTCACCAGTTAATTCACAAGTTACTGCTTTAATCATCATACTTAATGGTTCCAATTTTTTATTTATTTCGTAAATGACATTTTTCATTTGCTCATTACCTGAAAAAAAAACATATAAGATTATGTAATATTTATAATGATAAATTATAATTGTATTTTTTTATATAATAATAAATAAAATATTGTTTATACCAAACAATGTTATCACCAATTCTTTGCCATCCTGATCATGTAAAATACCCTCATGCATGATTTTTTGTAAAAATATTTTATGAGATTTGGTATACATTTTTCATTAATCTGTTATTAATTTTGTATACAATAATTATTCTTGACAACAATATCATCTATTCTATTCAATTGTTTATTTAATGTTGCTACGGAAAATAATTTTTTTATACCTGCTTTTTAAAAAATAATTGTTGACTATTTTTTTTCTTATATTTATAAGATAAAGATAATAAAGTATCTAATTTTGTAAAATATATAATTTTTTTCACTAAAATCATAAATAAATTAGAATAAAAATGAAGAATATTTAATAAAAACGTTAAGATATTTAATTGCAATATATCTTACCCTACCTCTTATGCCATGCGCGTGCGAGGGTGTACGTATATTTTTATGTATGTGAAAAGGCGGGATAAGCGGAGGTCGCCATTGTGAAATAAATAGAAGAAAAGGCGGGATAAAAGAATGCATTGTAGACATTTTGCTGATAATATTTAAATCATTTGTGATTGTAAGTATGTTGCATGAAATAACGTATCAAAAATTAATAATTATTATTTATTTAAGATTAATGATATTTAATCGTTGAGATATATCTAAGACAAATGTTATTCCATATTTTAGGTTATATATACATTCTAATACGCAGTTTCTTATTTTTTTGTGCTATTTTAAAAACATTTGTTTAAGTAATATATGCATGTGTTTTTTTCTTAAATTATACACTTTTTAAAAATGTAATTTAATGCTTACATAATCAAATCATTGAATTGTTTTTTCTATTTTTTTTTTTATGGCGTATATGATATTGTTTATATTCTATATTAAATGATGACGCTTTATTTTGTATTGCATGAATATACTATGAGAATTGCTTACTCATCAATGATGACCAAAAAAATGTCTATTTAATCAAATATATATTTCGAAATAATGTAATTGTAGTTTATCATTTCAGATTGCATAATTTTAATATGAACGAATTAGATCATAAAAGTAAAGAGACAGATGTTGAGATGTCTTCTTCAGAAGTATCCAACGAGTCAAATAAAACAACAGGCAAAAGACAACGTGAGATATTTTCTGAAGATGAAATATTACCTACAAAGAAGTCTCGCAATTCTACAGAACAAGAAGTACCAGCTGAAAATGGATCAACGTTGCATGATGCCAATGATGATGATGATGATGATGATGATAATGATGATGATGCGAAAAAAGAAATAAAAGAAAATACAAGCTCATCGAATAATCAGGAAAGTATATCTTCATCTACTAATAATATTAATAAGAAATCTGATGAAGAAGAAGAAAAAGTAGATAAAGAAGAGAAAGAAAAAGAAGAAAAAGAAGAGGAAGAAGAAAAAGAAGAAGAAAAAGAAGAAAAAGAGAAAGAAGAAGAAGAAAATAATGAAAACAGTTCACCAAAAGCTAATGATAGTACAAACGAAATTGACGATGAAAAATCAAATGATGAACCACAAAAGGATTCTTCTGTAAGGAATAAGTATAATTACATGTTATTGTATAAATTTAGAAAATGATTTTTTGAAGAAGATTTATAATAATACAAATTTAAATAGTTCAACCCTTTAACTGGGAACAGTTCATTATAAATACCTAATGTGAAATATTTGCTAAATATTATTGTTTCATTTTGCTTTTCAATGTTCCATAGATAAAGGGTGTAATATTTATCATATTATTTTACTTTAATTTTATATAAAAGATATTAATATTTGTTTTTTTCTTTTCTTTTGTTTTCATTTCATGTAATGCAGAAGATTATCGAAAAACTTGATGAATCTGTTGCAAATGATAGCATGAATAATTCATTGAAAAATAAAGAAAGTAATGAAGATGATAGTATTCATTTAAATGTTACTACGTCATCTACTAAAGAAACAGAAGTAGTTGATGGATTGGAACTTTCAGTAGAATGTGCCAGCGATAAAGAAGAATCTAGTTCTGAAAGTGAAAAAGATAAAGATCCTAAACCAAGAAAAAAAACGATTATTGTCAAAGCTAAACCGAATGAATCTGAACTTGAAGTTAGTTCGTCCGAAGCGGAAGAATCAGAAGAACAAAATTTAAAAGAGAAAAAGAAAAATTTGAAATCGGGAAAACAGAAAAATACTAGAACATCTTCCAATACAAAAAATTCTGGCTCTGAGGATAGTTTAGATAAAAATATGGAAGATGAAGAATATAAGCCACAAAATAAGAAAAAAGTTAAGAAAAATGTAAATAAAAAAACTACTAAACCATCCTCGACTGAATCTAGAAGAGGTCGTGGTGCACGAAAAGTTAATTCGAAAAAGGGCAATGATAAAAGTATGCTTAATGACAATGAAGATGAGGATAACGATAATGATGATAAAGACAATGACGTTGAAAAGAACGACAATAAAGAAATTGCTGAAAGAGTAACCAAATCGATTGATGAAAATAAAGATGAACAAGAGCACGATTCATCTGGTGATGAATCATCTGGAAGCGAGAGTGACAATGATGCAGATCAATCAAAGGATGGTAAAAAGAAGAAACGTGGTTCTAACGTTAGTACAATTAAAATTAACGAATGAAATGTATATTTATAGCATGATGTATTAATATTGTATCTTATTTTAGAAACCTGAAGATGATAAGAGGATAAAATCATTAAAAAAATACATAAGAGCTGCTGGTATTACTGTTAAATCTTATCAAGAAATATGGAGTGGATGCAAGTCCAATGCTGCTAGAGTAAGACGACTAAAATCGTTGTTGGAAGAACATGGAGTTAGCGGAAGACCGACTTTGGAGAAGTGCAAGAAAGTGAAAGAACATAACGAAAGGCTGAAAGAAGTATCTGAATTAGATAAAAGCAATATTATATCAGAAGGTTACATTATTTTTCACTTAAACTATTAAAACATAATTTTATACATAATTTTGATATCATAAAATGTTGTTTTCTTTTACAGGACGTGTTACACGTTCCCGCAGAGGTATGGATAATAATAAGAATTCAATAATAACACCGGAAACTCCAACACGATATCGCGAAACTCGTAACGCGTACAAAAGAATTCAAACTGTTATCGATAGCGATTCCGAGTGAAATCTAAGTTAAGTTTATTTATATTATAGGTCCTTCATATAAACTATTTTTTATCGGAATTTCTAACATTAAAGTTTATGCACGAATATTTGTTATTATTTCGCCTTAATCATGTCTCTATTGTATCTTATATTATATAAATATATATATAAATATATATTTATAGGAATAACCATTCTATCTTAACGAGACAACATAATCTTATTATTATAAACAAATAAACAAAAAATGTATTTTTGGCATTTTTCTAATAAGATCAATATTTTTATCAAATTTCTTTGACATGTATAAAAATATAAATTCTTCTCGATTATAATAAATTCATATTATTTTGTTTTGAAAGTTATGTAATATCATTATACATTCTATATTACTTGTTCATTGTAATGAAACAATATAATTATTACAATATATATATATATATATATATATATAAATATACTTTAATTTTCAAGATTTAATCCATTCATTTTTAATATTTTTTCGATTATTTGTATTTTTTAGTTTTTGTTTATTAAGAAATATTATTTTATAAAAGTCGAAGTATAAAAGAAATATTTCAATTACATATTCTTATTGTTTAGAATAATTGTCTAATAAACCTAATTATTAACAGAATGAATATGTATAAAGTAAAGGGAAAAATAAAATGTATATTATCGTATATACCTAATATTGATTTTCTATAAATGAATAATCCATGAGTATTATTATTATTATTATTAAAATATAGTCATAGTTATTACGTTATATTATTATTAAAAATATGATTATACTAGTATGGCATAATGGCGAGTAAATCTGTTTTGCTAAATGAAAAATATTAGCAAAGATAAAAAATATAAATGTGATATATTGAATAATATTTTTCAATCAATTGGAATACTTGGAAATGCAATCCTTACTACAAAATAGTTTATCCTCTTTGACTGCCATTCTACTGTTCAGTAAATATTTTTTACACATGTAACAACAAAAACATGTTTCTGTCGCGTGAAAGTTTAAATTCTTGATAGCAACTCCTTGTTGATCAGCTGCAATTACTGCGTTACAAGCATTACAAGTTTTGGCGTACGTGTTCTGATAACAAGGAAGACACAAAGGATGATCATTTTCAGATATATATTGTCGGCCAGCTAATGGAATGTCGCAATCCCAACAGCAAAAGTGTTTTACGTGATAATTATGTCCTTCGGCAACTGTATATTCTCGTACAAAAATTAACTGCAATAGAAATAAATTAAATTATAATATAAATTAAATAACATAACAATTTTTATTATATAAAAAAATTGATTTACCTCGTCGCAGGCAAAACATCTTGGAATTCCTAACAAAACTGCTAAATCTCTACCGCAATACAATTTATTTTTATAATAAAAATATACAAGATCGACGAGTAATTCATCACACACGGAACAAACGAAACATCCAGGATGCCATAATATATTTTTAGCTTTATCTACAGTTATAACTACATCCCCAACATTAATTTCTTTTTTACACTTCTCACAATTTTGTGGTTTTGTTGTTTCAACAGTTAAACCTTTAACAGCTCCATTAAGAGCATCAATATCTGCTTGATTCTCCTTAGATTGATTTCCTTTACAACAATTTACCTCATATGGGAATACTTGATTGTGTAAATTTTCTGAATAAGAAATAACTGGTTGGACATTTTTAATCCCACTTAATTTACCTTTTACACAATTTGTATTTTCAATATTAGATGGTGTTGTAGATGATTCAGATTTTGTAGGCACTTCTTTATGATTCGTATCACATTTTTCTGGTGAATTTATAGATGATATTGGAATGTTTTCAAGTGAATCTGCATTGTGTACTTGCGATGATTGTAGAATAGCGTTTGATGGTTTATTTCTTGGATGCATAGTGTTCGCTTTATTATGAATAAAGTTAGGGGCAATATTACCGGTAGAAGTAGATTGAATTACTTCTGATAAAGGTTTAGATACACGTTTTTCCGCTGTTATAGGCTTAGCTCCAAATTGCTGATCGTTTTTATTCATATCTCCTATTTTAGACGTAGATCCAATCGGTAAAAGATTTTGTTGAGAGTCCACAATACCTGCTTTGTCCACCACTTTATTATGTGGAAAACTTCTTGCATGATTACCTTGTGAATTATCTTGCATACTATATTTGCTATTAAGTTTATCACGTATATACATTAATTCATTTTTATCCAAAGTACTACTAACAATATCATGCACATTTATTGCACTTGGTGGTAGTAATGCATTTGCTAAAATATTATCTGCAACTTCTTGAAGATTCATTTCTTGATTTTCATCGGATTTTGATAATTCAGTATTAAATGGTTCTGTTTGAAGATCAACGTTATTTCTATGAGTTAGATTTTTCTGATCTGTATGTTTAAATTCGTTATTATGATTTGTCGTAGGTAAAGAACATGAATTGTTTTCTGCATGTTTACAATAAAGAGGCTCGCAATATTCATGTTGACAAATTGTAGGTAGTTCTGAGTTAGCATCGTAAGTGGGTACAGAAGAATTTACCAATTTATGAAATGAGCCTGGATTAGAGTATTTATTATCTGTAAAAAGTATAATAAAATAATAATAAAGTTTAGGAGGATATTCATATCTGTTCAATTGATAAAAATAATGTAATATTTTAATTACCAGAAATGTTTCTTTCGTTATCTTTTGAATCTGGTCTATTCTCGTAAGGTGTTTTTAAATATGAAATATTTTTTGCAAAGCTGCTTGGTGTTCGAAGTTGTGGTATGGTCACAGATACTTCTGATTTCTGCTGCGAATGAAGACGTTGCATATCTGTTGCATTAGCTGGTGTCATTAATGATCGATCAAATGGACGTGCACCTAACATCTATCATCAAAAAGAAACAAGTTTATAAAAATAATCTAAATATTATACATACATAATAAATAATAGAAAAAACATACCTTTATTACTTTACCACGTCCAACATATTTCTTCAAATTCTCTACATAATTTTCCAATTCTTTTTTCTCCCCTTCACTAAGTTCATCACATGCTTTATGATCGATATCATGTAATGGTAATTGTTTTTGTAATAATTGTTTCCTCAATATTGCACCATTTGATCCCGAAATAGGTAATTTTTCAACAGGTAAAGCATTCATATAATCTGTAGCAAGTTCCTTAGTTGTGTCTGGTGGTACCCAGTCGAATTTAATTTCACTGTTAGCTTGTTTTTTATTGGATATAGCCAATACTGAAATGTAATTATGATTAAGAATAGAATATTTTTATTATACATACACTTTAAATTGCATAATATTAACCCTTGGCACTATAATAACGTGTGGATGCTTTGCAGTTCAAATATGAAAAAAATTAGAAGCATAAAATATTGGACTGAATATGACACTTAGCTAAGCATAATTAAATCATAGCATAAAGGGTTAATAATAATTAAAATAAAATAAATAATAAGATAGTATTTACACATAGGTTTTCTTTTCGATTTTCCAGACGAACCAAATAATAAATCAAATTGTGGAAAATCATCATTGACAACGTCATGATCATCTCTGCTACATTTACAAATTTTACATGTCTTTCGCCAAAAGTGTAAATCTAAACCAGGACACAAATCATTACATATCATGCATGGCGCTCCTGCTCCAGCTTCATGCGCTAAACGGGGCTAATTTAAGGAAAATAATAAATAAATAAATACAACGTTAACCAGACAAAAAAATAAAGAAAGGAAATAGACTACATACTAAAATATTAAACTAATGTAATTGATGATAAGAAAAATAATGTATAACTAGTAAACAATTGTATAACTAGGTTAGATTTAAAAAATAAATTGATAAAATCAGCTTAATTATTATATGTAATAATTGTTAGTACTACCTTTCTTTTTCTATTTTCCAATTCCAAAAGCCACTGTGGACGATCACTTGTTTGTTCCATCTTTATTTGTTTAAAACTTTTATTATTTTTAATTAATAATTATTATCACACTTATTGTCACGAAAAGAATAAATAATCGAAATATAATTAAACACTACACATATATTTTTATTCTTAATAGAATTATTCAATTTTATGCACTAATTTCTATGGTAGAGATAAGAATTTTGACAGCTATCACGTATGACGCATAATGAACATATATAACAATACACTCATCAAGACTGAGCTTCTGCGCATCACCGAGTATCAACTCCTGCGCATGACTCTGCGCAGGAACGCATGCGAACGGGCTTCTGTGCATGGTTTCCAAGCATGGACTCCTGCACATTCTTATAAATATACTTAATACTCTCATTTTTTACATATTTTTATTGTTGTTCACGTATTATTTAATAGTTATTACTCATACTTGGATACTTTAATAATTCATTTATATAAAGACATTAAATTAGAATAAAGAAACCTTTAAAAACAATGATATTTGCATAACTATAATTAAAAGCTGATGTTTTCGCGCGCAACAGTCACAAAATGCTGTAATATGATTGGTTACTTAATTTGCCCGCGATATAATACACTATTTTTAAATTGTATTTTCATAGAATGCAACATAGCATTCAAAATTATATTAAAACATACGATTTATATTATTATTATTATTATTATTATTATTATTATTATTATTATTATTATTATTATTACTATTATTATTATTATTATATCAATATAATTATGGGGAATAATTATATTACAAAGAACAAATTATAAAAATAATGTTTTATTATAAAAACAACATTACATTAAACAAATGTAGTATTTTTTTGGTTATAAATAAGAGCAAGCTCAAAGACAGTGGTTGATTTTTCTTATGATGTTTTTTGATAAATCTGGTAGATATATGAGAAATTAATCTATGCAAATTATGAGGAATTTTTTCGTACAAATTTGAATTTATTGAATTCTTTCGCTGACTCCCTGAATGATGGTTATACTTTATACATTTTATTAAAAAACATTAAATCTTTGTTTTACCAGGATCTAAAAAAGACAAAAAGTAAGAAAAAAAATATAAATTAATTTGTTAATAAGATATTTATGAGATAATAATTAATTACCCGTAGGTAGGCGAAGGATCAGGTTGCGACCAGGATGGTTCATAATCTAAATGAGCCGATTTGTAAATTGGTGCTGGTTTTTCGATAATTCTTGAAATGTAAACTGGTTTTTCAACATATTCTACATATTTAACAGCTGGTGGTGGTGGTGGTACATATATACGATGAACTTCAGGAGCACTGTAGTATCCAAGTTTATAACTGGAATAAAAATTAATTGTAAGAAATAATTAAAAAAAAAAAGGAAAAAAAAGGAAAAAAAAGGAAATTAAAAAAAATGTTATACCCTTTAGCAACGCCCAAACCAAATCCTAAAATTCCAACATTTAATAATTTCTTTTTTAAAAAAAGTGTCCTCTTAGTTCTTGTGTGTTCTTCAGCTCCATTATTGAATTCATTAGTTGTATCGAGAGTTTTTAATGTATCTGCTTGATGATCGTATTGATTATTATCAATTTCGGTAGCAATGCATAATGCAATACAACTGCATACAGCTAGGATGATAAAGATAGTGTATTGTTGCATCTACGATAAATCAAACAAAACAACGATGTTTTAAAAAGGGAAAAAAAAGATGAAGTGAAATTTGTCTAATTACAAAATCATGTAATCTTTTACTTACCTTTAACTTTACTACCTTACACTTCTGGATAAGAAAAAGTACTGTGACTAACAACGAGCAAATGCGTGATTTTATAGTCAACCTACCTCCTGGTTAGCAAAGACACAAGTATATTTTACAGTCCGAACACGAACGATCGTATCGTTGGACATTTCTTCGATGTTTGGGACTTTCCGTCTCAATATCAATATGATTTTATTCTATATTGTTATCTTACAATCTCAATTTAATAAATAAAAAATTAATATAACATAAAAAACAATGATTTGATTACAAATCATGTGTTACAGGATTTATATTAACAGATTTAACTTCAAATTAAAATCGTAGATTCAAAGATTGAAGATACACGTACAACTAATTTAAACAAATTTTTCTTTTCTTTACTCTAATTCATTCTACTATAATATCAAGTGTAACTATCACAGTTACATACATTATTTTGTTTTAGTGTCTTCAATAAATAAAAATTTAATTGGATGATTGTTTACAATGTATATACGAAAAATCATCAGACACCATTTATTATTATTATTATTATTATTAACTGGTATTAGGAACTCGAAAGTTCATTGCCGTAAATACAGAAAAAAACACACAAGAGAACTAAGAGGGCACTTTTCTTAAAAAAGAAATTATTAGGTACTGGAATTTTAGGATTTGGTTTGGGCGTGGCTAAAGGGTATAACATTTTTTTAATTTCCTTTTTTTTCTTACACCATTTACAATAAAAAAAATTATAAAATATAATAAAATTGTTAAGAATTTGTTTCTTTTTTTTTGGGTAGATCCTTGTTCAACTTTGAAATGTAGGTTATTGATAGAACCCATTAGTGAAATTTCCGTGTAAACTTACGAAATCTGAGTGGACATCAGACACTTTCTATATCGGTCGGTCATCGTTTTCATTTTCACAGTGTGTACACACGCACATTATTAAGTAAGTTGACGTATTCTCCATCTCATCGAAATACTATAACACTTTCTTGTCTCGCACCTTCGATTAGTTAACTTTTTTTATCCGCATTGTTCCCTTACACAGTTACATACATATACATAACAGTATACGAACAAGTAGGGTTCAATAAGAAGGTTCATTAGGATTCAGTTCTTGTAATTGAAGACATATACACAACTCGCTATCGAACGTGCTTGGGATGATCTTTTTTATTTATTTCTATAAACTAAATTCACGGTTAGATAATCCATACGAAATCGTATGCATCATGTAAAGAAAAAAAGAAGGTATAGTAAAGAATAAAAATCAACTTGATCGAATTTTCGTTTTAATTCAATACAAATTTGAAAGTTTTATTTTGTGGGGGTTTTTTTGTTAAATTGAATTTTTACTACAAGTCATTTTTTATGTACTTCCTTTTAAAAAGAATAGAAACATGGGATTGTAATCGGATATCGAAATCGATATAATATAAAATTGGTGTCACGTAAAATTAACGAATTTCGATTACAGCATATAACAGTGGCTGTAATAATTTAAATGTCGATTATATCAATATCATTTTAAAATCTATTATTCTTATAAAATGATTATTAATTTATTTATATTTTGATTTATACATTTATTCATTGTTTTTTTTTTATTATAAAATGTTAAATGAATGAGTAGTTATATAAAAAATAATCTTATTATTAATTAATAATTTTGCACAAGCATATTTTTTGATGACGCTCTGTTATTGTAATTATCAAATTCGGTTACGAATTTTAATTATTAATTTCAATTTCGGTACGTCTAACGTGAAATAAACATAAATACAATTCGTAGATTTTTATTATGAATTTCTGTCTTCATTTTAATATTGTATTCTGTAACATAAATATATTTATATTAATAATAAGAAAAATAATTAAAATATAAAAAGGAAATACACTTACAAGGTATATATATAAATTATCGCCAATAACCATGAGAATGATAATTCACGTAAGATGGTTGAGCATAATAATGGCTCACACTTGGGTATCCATATCCATGTCCATATCCACCACCATATCCATATCCACCACCATATCCATATCCACCGCCATATCCATATCCACCACCGTAACCATATCCACCTCCGTAACCATATCCCCCACCATAGTTACCATAGCCGTAACCATGTCCCAAACTAAAAAAAGAAATTCATCAAATCATTGTCAATAATGTTACAAATGATAATATTGGGTTGTTGTAAAAGTAATTTAATTTTTCTTTTGTGAAAATAAAAATAATTTTCGCTTCGAGGTTAAACCTAGGCCTTTCAAGCGGACATAAACAGTTAAATTTAATAAATTTTACCTCTCACCGATCTCGCGTGTTGTTATTTGCCGATTTGCATCAATTAATGTCTTTATTATGTCAGGAAAAAACGAAATTACTTTCCAAACAACCCAATATTTTTGTAAAAAGAATTTAATGAAATATTTTAATCAAATTACCTTGATTTGTATAAACCAGCACCAAGTAATGCTTTAGCACCTAGAACACCACCTCCAACTAGAAGAGCTTTTTTGGCAAGAAGAGCACTACCCCCAAGTAGTGCACCACCCCCTAGAAGAGCACCACCCCCAAGAAGAACACCATGCCCAAGTAAAGTCCTCTTGTCTCGTATTTTATTTTCCTGGTTTGATTCCAACGATGAATCTGATAAATCTTGAGTAGTTTCTGACGCTGCATAAGCAACCATCAGAAATGTAATTAATGCCAATAAGTAATGGAGTTTCATCTGTTGAAAAAATAAAATTCATTTTTGTTAATATTCTCACTCTCTCTCTCTCTGTCACTCACTTTCTCTTTACTTTTCTTCCTTGTATCTATATATATATATTTTTAAATAATAGTATTATATAAATCTTTTCTTATGAAAGTGGTGGAAGTCCATTTTAGAATAAAAATTTGACAAAGCACATAATTTTTCAATAATTATAAATAAAAAATTCAAATGACGTAATGTCAATCTTGTTCAAAAATAGACTTATACAATTTTTACAACAAATGGTTTAATTACAATATTGTAAAATAATGTTTGATGAAACGTATTAATTATTTTTTTTACTTTTTCTAACACAATTTTGAATTTATATTATTTAGTATAATATTAAAGAAAAAAATAAATGTATCACAATAGGATGATAAGTTAGAATGTTTCTTTACGAACCTTGTTTGATTGTGTCCTGATCTTAAAGTTAAAACTAACGTACCCTTTCTTAGATCGAGTTTCCAGAGTTTTTATAGCATAAGATCAAGGAAGTTGCCCCTTCCATAAAAAAATCTTGACTACAAAGTGAAATATTAAAGATCGTTCTACCAATAGTTTTCTTTCAAAGTAACCACTACTGACGTTACATTCGTGTTATTCGTATAAAATACAAATTTATCTTTCATTCTCATCTTTCCGGTTTTCTTCATCTCGTCGCACCTTACCCAAGAACGACATTGAACTCGACTGTTGACTTGCTAAGAATTTTTTTTATTTATTTGAGAAACGATCAAGTCCCTTGTCATTTTACGCAATCTTCTCCCAAAAAAAGTATCTTATTACCATCACGACCTTCGTTTTCCTAATTCCAACGCATTCCTTTTTAAATTTAGATTTTATAATCATTGATTATTTATTGTCTTTTATTTCTTTTTATATTTACTAATGAAAATTGTATTTTTTTGTAATGACGACAAATAGATAAAAATTAATTATGCATTCATAATTCAAAGAAACAATAATTGTATTGTGCAATTTAACTACTCGCATATGACAACATCTTTTCTAATATTAAAAATGATTGAAATTAACTTTTCAATATTATTTTGGACAATTATAATTTCTTTTTTTTTAGTGATAATTATACGTCTATGTTTTATTTTTTTTGTCTCTCTTTTAATAATTAACATTAAACGAGGTCATTTTAATCTAAACAATTGTGAAAGATCAAATATTCTCGTTCAAATGAAATAAGCAAACATTTAAGTAAATGCGTATAATTTTTCGTAGAATATCATTGGTACGGTTCATTCATCATTTTTTTCCTCTTTTTTTTTTATTATTATTATTTAAAATTTCAATGTCATTAATTTTATTGCAATTTACAAATGAATACGATAGTAATAAACAAAAAAACAAATGTATGTAATAAATTAATATAACAGCATCGAATAAAAATGTCGTGTAACCTTTTATAAATTCAAATAAGTTTAACGAAATCATTAAAAATCATTGGAATTCTTTGAGAATTTTCATAATAGTTAGAAATATCATTTATATACAGAATTTCATTGATCGTTTTATTCAAATTGCTTGAGGCTAGATGATTCTCCTCGTCCATTAAAATTTTTATTTTCTAAGAAGATCCATCCAACGTTTTTTTTCTTTTTTTATTTAATTACGTATCCGCATATATTAATTTGCAGAGGATATTAATAAACGTAAGATAATTTATTTAATAACTATTCAAGAGTTATTTTACTTAATTTTTATAGCCAATATAAAAACAATAAATCGAGTATTAATCTTTTTTATTAATATAATATTGCACAATACAATTCTAATTTATTATTTATCACTTATATCCTTAGTTATTTAATTACTTTTATTTTTTCTATTTGAAACAAAAAATTATTACATATTTGACAATCCAGTATACATTTATTATTGTTATTAAAATAAAATTAATATATTTTTATGTATATTTGCAAGTAATTAAAATAATATGCCACTGAAAAGAGATAGGAAAGTACGATGGAAAAAAGCAATGACGAAAGAAGAAAAACAAAAAGTGGCATTGGAAAGACAATTAATGTTAAAAAGGGAACATTTAAATCGTGAAATTAAAATGGGAGCATTGAATACAATGAAGTATCGTCAATTATGGCGAGAATTAATGATGCGTGCAAAAATGCCGATTATCAAAGAAAATATTGAAATTGCGTGGCGTACATTTGATCGAATAATCGATAATAAAGATCACAGGTATATTTTTGTATAAATAATTATAATGATAACGATCAACGAGACAATAATGATTTATAAGAGAACAAATTTATATTATTTTGTTCAATATAGTATTCAAATTTTAATAAATTCTCTCGACGAAGCTAAAGAACAACACGAAACATTGCGCAATGCTCACAATGCTATAATCGATCGTTTGTTTAATATTTATGATATGAAAACTAGTATTATTTCAATGACTTATGAATCTAAAATGAATGAAACTTTAAACGAGGCTAACATCGAAAATATTTCATTGAAAAAAAAAAGAAATGAACATTTGTCACAGTTACAATCTATTATTCGTTCTACGCAAGAACAATTGGATAATATGATTGGTAACATTAAAAGCAAAACTATGAGTAAGTCTAATCATCATAATAAATATTTGAAATAAATGTTATAAAGTGAGTTTCGAATATTTGTATCATGTTTAACTCTTTGGAGCACAGTTGGATTAAAAGTGTCCCACCTTTTTGATACACCGTAATGCACGGTGGGACATTTTTAGTCCCACCTTAAAATATTATTGCAATAGCTAAACATGCTCATAAGTTTATATTTCGTCTAATTTACGCAAAACAATTGGTTATTAACTCTTTTTTTTTATGTTTTACATTTATTACAATTATGTAATACCTTTATTAATTAAAAAATATATACCAATTTTGTTTAATTTAAAACGTAATCAAATTTCTATGCAACATTTTGGGGCTATTTTATTAACTGAAATTCTGTGCCGCAAAGAATTAAATGTAAATATGTTGTATCGTTCAAAATAAAATGGCCTTCGTATGAAAATATTCGACATCCGTTTAATAATGAATGTAAATTATTTATTTATTTATACAACTTGTTAGCTATATTATTTCAATTTAATTAACTTTTTAAGGTAAAATCGATTCTTTCGTTAGTGATAAAACTAATATGAGAAGATTAGCAGTTTCCAAGAGAGAAAATCAACTAAATGAACTTTCAACTGATCTGCAAAAAACTATTGCTACATATCATAGAAGTATAATACATATAAGGCATTTTAAGAAATTTCATTTTATATAAATAAGATTTTTTTGTAGATACTAAAAATCGAAGAAAAATTTACGAAATTGTTAAAGATAAAAATGAAAAAAATCAACAGATTATAACTAATCAATATGTGCGTATTTCTGTTCTATCGGAAATAATTAATAAATTTCGTGATAAAGTTGCTACTCATAAAGCTAACGTTAACAAAGATTTCAAAGAAATTATGGACGAACAACATTTCTTTTATAGTTCTTATTGGATTATGAAAAATCGTCTTATTTCTGGCAAGCGCATTTTTGTTCATATCATCAATAATTTTTTTTGGTATTTATTCTAAAATATTCTTTCAATTCTAATTTGTGTTTCAACAATTACAGAACAAAAAGAAGATAGAATTCAATTAACAACAACGACGACTGAATATAAGTTGACTAAAAATTATTTAGAAAGATTAGTTAAAAAAGTAGAAAGTTTATTAAGTCTACTTTTAATTTGTCACAAGTATGAAACACTTGATGAAAATATTTATTCTTATACTAATTATACGGAATCGAGTCCTCAAAAGATTTCAACATTGTTCGAGTTGCAAGGAAGTGCGGAGGTAGGAGATGATACAATTTTGAATAAACATAATTGATTATTTCTTTTTCCATTTCTTTGACAAATTATTCTAAAGAAAATGTTTATATTACTAACAAATATACCGTACAAATACAGATTATAAATAACTTTCAAGATTTAACCAATTTTTGGCGTAGAATTGGTGCAGTTAAAATTACTATTGAAGAACTAAAATTAGAAAAGGAAAATCAACGAAAAGAAATGAATATATTAAGAAAAACAATGAAAGATTATTTATCGCAAGAAAAGAAAACAAATTTAAATTCATAATAAATGTACAATAATAAAATTATTATCAAAATAATATGACACCTTTTTATAAGTTGCATATAACATAATTAATTTAATTATAGTGAATAAATAAATTATTTTCTATATTTCAATACTGTTAGAAAAAATTGTGAATATAAAAATCTTCGACTTTGACATTGCATAATTTCGTTCATTAGTTTAGTTATAATAAATGCAATATATATATATATATTTATATTTATTTTATATTTATATATCTAAATTTAAATTTTATTTATTTAAGTCTTTATGTACAAATGAAATACGTAGAAAAACTATAACATTCTAAAGTAACTTATTTGAGAATTATATAGTATTGCATATATTTAAATATGTTTATTAAATTATATTAGTTAGAATGATATATTTGATAAAGTATATCACTTTTGCATCAACATTGAATTAGCGACAACGTTACACTTTCGACCTATAAAAATGAATGTTCATTTTTGAATAACTGTGCGTATTTTAAAATACACACAACATACTTCCATGTTTTGTTTCTATAACGTACATGTTTATAATTTTCATCATTTTAAAATGCACTTATAGTAATAATAATATTATCACTTGAGCGTGCTAAAGGAACCTCCGTTTATAATTTAGAGATTTATGATTTGTGTTTATGGGCAATGTTCGATAACAATTTGTTACCAGCAAGGAATGTAACAACACCAAGTCCCAGAAGATAACGCAATGTTACAAACATATTTAATTTTAACCAGAATACTCCAAACAGTACGAAAATACCTACAAAAAAAAAAAATGAAAAATATATATTAAAATTATTGGTAATACTTAATATCGTATAATTATTTACAAATATTTATGTTGAGAATAATCGGGCTACAAATATAGTTAATAATGAACTATATTTGTGAAAAATTCACCGTTTTCTATCTGCTCAATTGAAAACAAGTCAACATAGAAGAATATAGCCTGTCAAGCATTGAGCATAATAATCAAATTATATTTGGAATTGATCTAAAAGTTTACCTCCTAATCCAAGATGGAATGTTACAGCACTAAGAGACAAGGGGAAATTAGATATATTGACTCCAAGTTTTGCCCACAAAATGATAAGTAAAAGGGCAGGTGCTAAACATAGGCCAGTAAATAAATTTGATACGAAAGCAGGTGGCCTCTTCTCCGGTTCACGGAACATGTGCTATAGATATAAGAAAAAAAAAAACTAATTAATTTTTTTAATATCATGAAAATATATTACACACATTAAATATAAATATGTCATTCAAAGTTTATTATACAAATCCAAATATAAAATTAATTTGGAAATCTAAATAAAGTTGCTTTGAAGTCATTTATTCTACCAATGTTATGGAAGTGATTAGAATAATGAAAAATATTCTATCACCAACGAACATTGGTTATATTATACTAGGGGTGTCCCACCACGCGTTACTGTGGCTCACAATCAGTCTAGTACACACACGTCTTTAAGTCAACGAATTACCTTATACGGCCATCTGTTAGAATCATATCGAACTAACAGAGATAATCATGACTCTTTGTTAATAAACAAATAATTTGCAATAAAATAATATTGCAATTATAAATTGAGATATAAGCTATCCTATCTTTCAAGTTGGATGAAACTGTACACAGTGTGCAAAATTTTATTAAAATCGGTTCAGTAGTTTAGGAGTTCATTGCGGACAAACAACGTGACACGTAATTTATATATATTAAGAAGATGTTTATTCCTTTATTGATTATTAATAATTACCTTTATTTCTGGTTTGGTTGTATAAATATCTGCTTTTTGTTTGAAAATAGCATTCTTATCGCTCGATTCAGCAGCAACAGCATCAGGGAATTTCAAATTTACTGTAGCAATAGTCCATTCAAAAGAATTACTTAATACAGCATCACCAATAACTAAAGCTATTTTATAATCTCCACTGCGATATGCAAAGTTTATCGCTGTTCCTGCTAAAGGCTAAAAATATAATTGATAAATTAGTACATTTCATCGAAATTTTTAAAATAATTATACAATTATAAATTGAATGTTTAGTGAACTCTTACCATATCAAATTTATAAATATTAGCATTATCTGGCTCAGCTACAAATGTTATTTCATTATCATTGTTATTATTGGTAGTAGATGTAGATGATAAACGAATAAATGCTTGATGAACTCGCATTGGTTTTTTGTTAGCTGAATCTTTCAACAAAAATCTGACAACTAATTTTTGTTGGGAGTCTGCTTCTATCTTTTGATTTAGTTTTTCAAGATATGTTACTCTGTAAAATTTGTATACAAAATTTTTCATGTTAAAACTGGATAGAATATCAGTAAGAATTTTGTACAATTTTTATAAGACTTCAATATACCTTGTTAATTTTGGTTGTGTAGTTTGATCAGCATCACCTGTTCCTATTTCTAAATAATCAACCACTACTTCGGAAAGAACTTTAACCATAACGATGTTGGTTGCAGATGCTGCTGAGACTGATATTTTATAAAATCCACGTTCTGGCTTAGCTTTCATTAAATCCATCGTAAACAATGTTCTATTAAAAGACAGAAAATTATGAAATGTATTATTAAATATGAGTATCCCAAATACTTTAATTAAAAATATTTGTAAGTACAAAATTGTTTGTTGAAATTCTATACCTTTCTTACATTGAAAAAAGGTTTAAGGGTTAATTCAACAATTACTATACCCCAAGGTATAGCTGAAGTCAATTTTTTATCATTGAATCAGTAAAGTATTGGGGATGAATAATATTAGAAATTTGAATCCTAATGAAACTTACTTATCTGTTGTTGAAGACTGTAATGTTTCTTTATTGAGGATAGCAGTATCATCATCCAATTTATTAACATAATTTGTGATAACTTTAGGTACTGATGCCAATGGTTTACCAAAAATATCGCAAACTTTAACAGTAACAAGTGGTTGTTTGTTTGAAACAATGACTCCTTCTTCGGGTAAGGTGATACATACTAATGTTTCATGTTCATAAGTTGCTAATGTATTCAGTGCTGAAAGAAGACTTACAACGCCTTTAGGAGTTTGCACGGATCGTCTTGACAAAAGATAATTAGTTAGTTTGACAATTTGTTGAGACGTCAGGAGTGGTTTCTTTTTTAATGAATTACTAAGCTTGAAGATACCATTTACGAGGAAGCCTAAAAATAATTCGTTAATATTAATATATAAATTAATTTAATATAAATAACATAAATTGTATTATTTACAACTTACTTGTTATAGACAGACCACCTTCGAATTGCAAGAACTGTCCATTTACTTCATCTGCTTGTATGATAGCATCCTCGATACGATGCAAAGCAAATGTACCAAAGGACCCAAGATCAGAAGCAATGTGGAAGGTATATCCAAGACTAAATACAAAATACTCTGTATCATACTTGGATTTATGTATAACATTGGCATAGATTAACTATGTTATACAATTGGTGTAATAAATTGCTAATACTTTTCACGTTGGTCCATACTTCACATGCCAATTATTAACATTTACAATAATTAAATCACAAGACTTTATTAACTAACACTTACTTCCACAGACTGTCGTCTTTTCTGAAAGCCAATGTCTTAGCTAATTTTTCAGATTTCTCTGTTGTTATTTTTTGTGACAAGAGTGTTAATGTATTTACAGCATAATATAATTCAGCGAATGTAGATGTATCTTTGTCTATAGTATTCATCAAAACCTATATTACAGAACAAACAAAAATAATTCTTATAAATATTTATCATTTATATATAATTTCAATAATTTATATTAGATAAATTTAATATTTTCAGTTAAGTACAATTTTTCTTCAATGTTCTTGCAGTAGAACGAAAGTTTAAAAGCATCATTAAATATGAAATAGTTTTTTACTTTAGCTCATAACAACAGAGCTAGCTTTTACATCGTTAAAAGTTAAGTAATAAATCTTATATTACTAAAATATGATTTTATAAATAAAAGTACCTTTGTAATCGCAGGTATTGGTAAATCTTGGCATGTATCGATAGCTTTCCATGCTGATACAATATAAAAGGCTGTTTCAGGTACAACATTGTTACCATCCCCAATGGATTTTAACAAATAATTACAAATTTTCTGTAATATACATTAAAAATTAATGAATATGAAAGGAAATACATAACTTAATAACTTTTAATGTTCAATATTAATATCAGGAAGACTAATCAAAAAATCAATGAAATTCAATATTTGCATTTCTCATCATATATTAATACAAAAACAAATGAAATTAATTTCATTTAATAGCAAAAATACCTACTTCTTTATTAAGTATAGGCTCATGAAGAAGTTGATATCCGTACACGCTATAATATGTCGAAGTAGGATCTTGCAGATTAAAACCTGGATCGATGACGTGTTTTAATCGAATTTTATCATTTTCTGATAAATAAGAAATAACTGATGGTATTGTTTCTCCCACCGTGTATGTTGCAGATAAAACTGATACCACCAACAAAAGTAATATAGCTATAAATAGAAAAGAA